ATTAGGCAACCGCTGGAGCAATGCACTTTTAAATCTATATTGAAAACTCAGTTCGTAAAAACTGCTTTGTGTTTAGTTTGTTGTTCTTACCCTGCACCTCCGATTAGCACGGTTGGCTATGAACGATGCAAAAGAAGTTCAACAAATATACAAAGATCAAAGATAAAGATCCCCCGTATAGCCTTAACAGACTGTAGGGGCAAGTGCTGTTAGCGAGCACCTATGAAGGCCGGAACGGTACACGAGGGGGTGGGTGGCCAGCACCACGCCCGACCGCCTTTGTCTCCCAAGTGGCGATGTTTACACACCGCACCAGGTACTCATTTAAGGCTGAGTCGACCTAGGGGAGGCCCAGGACCGGTTCAGATAATCGTCACTGGTGTTGGCCGTGAGCGGGAATCGAACCCGGGTCGCCAGGTTCATAGCGCAGCGCACTAACCGCTACACCACCGCTCCCACAACAAATATACGTACACATACAAACATGCACAGACGCATCTCGTATCTGCACTGGTATGGCCTGCGCTGTGGACAGCTCCTACACATCCCTGTTGGTCCGCGGACTTTTCTCCTCTTATCAGAGAAGAGCGGATAAAATTATTAATTTTCTACGACTTCCTCATCACCAGCAGCAATCAATACGCCCTGCTCGTGTTGAATGCCTCCCCACGCCGTCGCCACCTCTCGCGGTGCTGCGATGTACAATCCGCCGAGCGCCTGCATGCAAGACGACGATTTTAGCACTCCACCCTCTCGGCAAATTCCGGTCATGTCGCTCTTCTTGACCACCGGCCATCATCCCTACTGGCCAGGACGAGTCGCGCCCAAGGCCACTTCGTTTTTTACAAGTCAACATTTTGCATAGGTTGTCCCATCGATGAGATTCTCTTCCCACAATTGCAAGCGTGAACCTCGCCCCTGCTTCTTTGCGCACCAGTGCATTATGACGCAACGTGATTTTGCACAAGTGGTGGCATTCTATTGGTGGTGTGATGATGCAAAATAGACGCAAAAACCACATGAACGCGAGCTGTTGTGGCCGACCTCTGGAATGTAACAAAACAAAACAGGGGGAATGCAGACGAACACACGAGACGGCCTCGCGTTACATGTTACAATGCTGCAACAACAACGCTGGAGGTCGCCACGGAATTCGATGAATCGTCACGTTTCCTTGGTAGTGTTTCGATTCGGGCGTCGATTGTGCTTTATTTGCCTCATTCTCACCATCTTAGGAGTCTTGCTCCTCGTTTTTTAACCGTCTCGTTTGTATTGCATTGGTTTCTCGTGTGGTGTTTTTTTTTGTACCGTTTCATCTGCCGAATTCACTTAACCTTGACACGGGCGCGTACAAATTGCATACAGTTTGCACATGCCGTGAGAAATGGATCAATCGGCGCGTGCACAACGACTCGACGCACGTTAAACAGTCGGTTCCAGGAAGGTGACAAGCCACGTGGCTCTGCAGCTTGACATGCTGACTGGCGGCTGTCGATGGGCGAGAGACCCTGAATGGCAAAGTGGCGCGCGTGTACACGCTGGAGCCTTTGCCGAGCGGCGAAGGACCGCTAGACGGCAATCGTGGGACAAACGAAAGGTTTGCGACGGCGCGGGGTTTCACCCACGTGGCTGATGAAGACGATGACGCAGTGGGCTGGTCAACACACTGTCTTAGGAGCCCTTTCAAAAGGAGGGACTTTATTCCGGGTTATGTGCAGGGCAGGCAGCAGTGCTCTGTGTTTATAAACTATTGCGGGTGGGGGGGGGGGGCACAAGGTTGGAATTCAGTACGGTCTGTGCCATTACTGCTGAACACCATTTACACGAGTTGGCATGAACACCCAGCCAGTTGCTGCCACTGCCTTTATAAATAACCAAGATGCATTAAGGGCCATTAAAATCAACCCAGTCAACCTCAATCGACGGCATGAAAAGTGAACCAAATCATATGGCTCTATACAGTGTAGGCTACATTACAGATTCGTTTGCAGCCCTTTGTCAAGCCACTGCTGAGTAAAGGCGTCTCTCTCTCCCCGCCACGTTGGTCATTTGGGTTGCATGACCCATACTTCACCATGCTGGTCAGTTCAAGTTGGAGAACGCAGCGGAACTGGTGAAGAAATCACTCGCCACCGATGTTAGCCATGATTGGGAATCGGAATTAAGGTGGCAGGGAGTTTATAGCGCAGTGCACTAACCACAGTGCCACGACCATTTCTATACATACATATAATTCAATGAAAAATGTACATATGAGCGTTTGGGTCCATAGTGGAATGAGCCAACCACTGAAACCACCACTGACCACTGTGCCACTACTCCCCTCTGATGCCGCTCCAACGGTGTGCATATAAGACAAAAATCTCCCTTATCGCCTTAACAGATTGTTCGGGTAAGAGCTGTTAGCGAGCACCTGTGAAGGCCAGCATGCCACACGAGGAAGTGGGTAGCCAGCAACACGTTCAGCCACATTTGCCTCCCTTGTGGCGATGTTTAAACATGACACTAGGTACTCATCTGAAACCGAGTCCACCTGGGGGAGTGCCCAGGACTGGTTCAGATAATCATCACTGGTGTTGGTGGCCGTGAACGCGAATCCAACTCGGGTAGCCGGGGTTCCGTAGCCCGAACCACACCACTAATTAAATCGATTGCCGTGTAACGTTATCTGGTTGTCTTCTCAGCTCTAAAATAGAAAACGTGCAATATTTGAATTGACTGCATAATGATAAAGCGGTCCATCGTCAACAACCGGCATTTCTGACACACAAATAAAACATTATTGCTGGAGCTGCGACGGTAACAGCCGGCGCACGGTGGGGCCACGTGGCCTCGCTTTGGAATGTTCTACGGCACTCTCGCCCCCCCGCTCATATTGCCACCCTCGTTTTCTTGTTTTCCCCTTGGCAGCACCGCTGGGGGGGGCGGGAGGGTTTCAGGCTTAAGGCCACAATCTATATCGGGCCATGGCGGCGGTGTAACGGCGGAGACTTAGCGACGTGCCAGCGCACCTTCCCGCACTGTAGCTTCGGCGGCTCGCTCGGCCCCGACGCCGCCTGCAAAGAGAATCGGGCCATTTTGCCGGATTTTGCCAGATTGTGCCAGATTGTCAAAAGTCTCCACGACAACAACTTCAACTGGTGTAAAAAGTGAAATTAAAACAACAAAAAGGGCCCTTCAATGACATTTTTGGGAACAAGGAAATGTTTGTTTACGTATTTTCCACACTTTCCAACTAAGGTTGAAAGGCGTTTGTGCATTAGCTCTGTCCGTCCATCCGTAAGGGGGGGGAGGGGAGGCATGATAACTCATGTAAATCTCATCTGACTTGAACCAACTTTGAAGATAAAGTTGTATTGCTATTAAGGACTCTTGAAAATCGGCCGCATTGATCAAAGAATTGAGCGAAACTTGGAGACAACCAGTGCTAAAAGGCCCCTGCCTAGGCATCCGTGCCCTACCAGCAAAGGCGCGGCACCCTCCCCGGCAGAACAGCTACACGAGCTCCACCCCGCCTCGGCCCCCACCAGCCGGTAGTAAACAAGCCGACAGCACGAGGGATGACAGCACACAATATTTGCCATGTAGGTGTCATTGGCCACTTTTAGCCACAATCTTGCTGGACTCACATTCACGGAGCATCCAAAAAGTTGCTTATGAAACGAATTGTAACTTACCGACCAGGTCAGGAACTTACCGACCTGTTCTGTAACTTACACTGGTAACTTCTACTGTCAGCTCGTCCATTCATGACAATGGGGGAACGGCAATTATAACTCTCGCGGAGATGATCCAATACGAACCAAACTGCAGCAGGTAGTTGTCTTGCTGTCAGGGACCCACTCTACTGAAAACAGACCGGATTGATCCAAAGGTGGCCCAAAACTTGGGAGACACAAACCAGAGCAGAAAGAATTTTGTTGCAAATACGCAAATACATTTTTGCCCCAACAGCTGTCCGTCCGTCGACTTCCATGCTGCCAGTCAAGTAATTAAACGCGTGGTGGCAAGCGCGAGGTATTCCATGCATAGGCATGATTTCGCCCCCCCCGACTTGTTTCCTTTGCAAGACGTGTTTTGTGTGTACTTTGGGAGAAACTCCCGAGCCCCCAGATGTCGGCGGGAAACTCTGCATCAATGCTGGAGTTGCGTGCGTGCGTACGTTCACGTGCGTACATGCGTGTATGTACTCACGCACGTACGCGCGCACGTGCGTAGTTCCGCGGAACTCGCAGGGATCACTCGCAGGCCCTCTCTGCGTCTCGAGGATTGATGGCCGCCACTGCCGCGGTGTCTGAACAATGTCATCCATCCGCGACCCACACGAAAACCGGGAAAGCAGACCTTTGCAAGCGACCCAATGTAGACGCGTTTACATTGAGTCGTTTGAGCTTGGAGCACTGTAAGCATCGTGAAGGCGTTTTAATTGCTCTATCGTAAATATTTACAGCCTTTTGTCAATATACTGCTGCACGAGGCCCTCACCACGCTCTGCGGGTCATGAATGTTGTGTGACCATACCTCACCGCAACAGGCCTTCAGTATATCACAGAGGCCTAAGTGAGTTGTTCCTGTGTAAATAACGATCATTAATATTATTTACAGCCTTTGTCAAATCGAGTTGTTTGACCATACTTCACCATATGGATTAGTAGGGGAGGTGGTGGGGGAACACCCAGGACCCATTCAGATGTCACTCGCCACTGATGTTAGCCATGGCCGGAAACGGAACTTCAGGTGCCAAGCTTCATAGCGCAGTGCGCTAACCACTGCACCACCCCTCCACCCCCTCTTCCTTGCTTATCTTTTACGACCGATCATATTTTTGCCCAATGTAAAGACTCCAAATGCAAATATAAGCTTCGGGGTGCATGTGAAATGAAACGCAACTGGTTTCTCGTCGTCGCTGCCACCAAAAGAACGTGCAGCGTTTGCGGATTAAATCCGTACAGAGAAAGAGAGAGACTAACTCGGAAACCGGTTGTATGACTATTACTCACCGACTATGTTGGAGTTCACCCGGAGGAGACCTTGGAGAGTTCACTGTGCCATATCCCCTTCGGTCACTCAGACACTCCTCCGTAAGAAAAAAAAATCCACCGGCAAATCTCTCCCTCTTCCTCGGAAAAGCCCTACGCAGCGGGGAACGTGGCGGAAGCACACACAAGTCTCTCGCTGCACTGTACGACGATCGCTGCGTGCACTTACAAAGGCTGAAAAACACACACGCACGTGCAAAGTGAAGGATGCGATGGCGGTGTAAATGGTAAATATTTCACACGCCACACAGGCTGCAGTCACGAGTTTATAAGCGCGACGCAAGCGGTTGCGTTTGTACGCGAGCACAATGAGAGCCGCTGTTCTCTCCCGAGATTGTTCCCCGTGCGACTTGGTGAGAGAGTCAAGGTCAAGGAGTCATCGGCGTTGTGCGATGCGATTGCCTTCGCCGCGGACAAGCTCAACAAACACAATTTGTAGGCAACGATTGAATCGCAGCCTTATGACGCAGCAGATTCAATGCACCGCCACGATCTGAGGTTGCGATATAAATAAATAAATCGATAAATATTGTCCTCGTCATTGTCATCTCGTTGGTACAGTTTTGTTGGGTTCAATGTTCCAAACGTGCCAGATGATTTGCAAATCAGTTTTTATTCAAATCACAGTTGCTGGTCTATACGTGCAACGGCCCACAATGCAAAGAGGCCAGCAACCAACAGCACTGCCAATGTTGTGACGAAAAAGAGTAACGCGTTTATTGATTTGAGGAAGGTTATTATAAGAGCTTGGGAAAAACAAACGATGAGAGGGAATTCCAGTTCAGTAGTGAGAGGGAATAAGCAGCTCTCAAGAATAATTAATCATCAAATCATACACCCAAGATGCATTAATCATTAATACTTGAATCACGCATGCAAGATTCCTGAGCAGCAGCATCAATAGAATTGACGAATTGGATGCCCTCGTTCTAAGCCTATCAGATTCCGTTGCATGATACTGTGCACACCCCGCCCCCCTTACCAACAATTCACTTGTGAATCAAAATGGCCTCGCCATGCCATATTGGTTACGGGGAGTTTAACACGTCGGCTTTCGCGACCAATATTATCCGTAAGAGTTTTTTTTTGGGTTAGATCAAAACGTCGTAATCGAATTGTAAATGCTGTGGGTGGGTTTACTCTCCAACACGCCCGGTGTGCTGAACTAGTAACGAATTGTCATGTTGTGTTTTACGTGACAAACCTTACTAATTGGCCGTCTCGGGTGGTGGCGGACTTAACAACACATTTATATTTACGCGATCTAACCCAAAAAAACCCTCTATTATGGGTCACGGGGAGTTGTTTGACCGTACTTCACGCTGGTCATTGCGGGTTGGTGATAATGGGGCCCAGCAGCACTGGTTCAGATTTACTCGCCACTGATGTTAGCCGTGGGCAGAAATAAAACACAGCTCACCAGGTTTGTTAGTTCCAAGCGTTAACCACTGTGCCACCATATTTCACCATGTCAACATCAATTAGGCTGATATTGCCACACTTCCCCATCGCTTCAATCCTTCTGCGAGGCCCGGCATCCCTTATAAAATTGTCGCAGATACGTACTTGCCGTACTTGCCATCTTTTAACATCAAGCGTTATAGGCTTTTTTTCCCCGCCCAAATTCCCAAGAAATCGCCGCCGGCTAGGATGACGACGGCATTACTTGGCACGATGAAGGGTAACGCCGCTGTCCTTGGGCACGGAACCAAATCGCCCCGTCGCCTCCTGCGCCGCTCCGATTGGTCCTTCACGTGCCGCTGAGTCGCCGTTTTCTGAGGCCGCAATGTTAATGAGAAAAACTCGAGCACGTTCCGGCCGCCCGGCTAACTCGTCGTAAAACACACGCGCCCGGCGACGTGCCGCAGAGATCAGTCTCCCACCGTCCACTTCCGCCCACCCCTCCACACTGCCCCCACTCCCCCCCCCCCCGGCTTAATTGCACCTTTAGCAAAAGCTGCATGGTGTGCAATCGATCATTTTACACCCAGTAGCTTAATACTCCCCAGTGCTAAACTGGGAAGAGCGCTTCACACCGTTTCACGGCTCACCCGGGTGACGAGGGCAAGGATTATTGCAGGCTGGACCTGCAATCCAGAGGCCACCGGTTCCATTTCTATATCTACCCTGTCACTACTTGCTCAAGCAGTGGGCCTCCACTCGAGGAAGCTCAAGGGAGAGCCCCTAGAAGCAGGATGTTTAGGCCGACTTTTCCACGACGTCTGGTAAAAGATTTGGCGTGCACACACACACTTTACCCCACCACCCACGACCTGCCGATCAACCCGCTCTGTAGTGGAGCCACTTATACCGCTGGCTGGATCGAGGCAGCGGTGTGGCGGTGGGGAGGGCGGGCGAAGCAACCGTTGTTTCAATTGCCGCGCCGGGAGGTTGGATCGAACCGGCGACCTTTAGATTGCAAGTCGGGCATGCTAACCGTCGTCACACCACCACGGCAGCATCTCGCACTGGAATGACCCCTCGCCAGTTGACCCTGCCCCGGTTGGGCCTAAACGGCGTGCAACGGGGATCGTTTCCCCGGCAGGTGTAAAAGACAAACCCGTTACTTATTCATCGCCCCTGTGTCGACGCACGAGGCGGGCACGAGTGGACTCAGCCGCTTGGATAATGCGGCGAATTGACAATGGGCAAGAGCGCGGGGGACAGCCGGCGACACAAAAGGAAAAGCACAAAACAACACGGGAGCGGTGCAAACGTGCGTACAGTTCGCACTGTTGTGTTCGCCACTGCGGGCCACAACTAAAATAGAAAGAGCAACGTGCACAGGTGCGCTCACAAACAGCAGGACGGCGCAACTCCCAACGTGCTGCCCCCGTTTGTGAGCGCACCGTTCTTTGTGCGTTGGTTTTTTTATATTTTGTTTTCAGCCATCATGCAATTTCCTGTTTTTATGTTTTTTTCCCTTCATTTTTACAGTGACGTGATGGGTTCGACTCAAAATAATAACACTACTACTACTGGGTTTACATCCAGGACTGCCTCGCCGAGTGTCAACGCTCTTGTTCAGGAGGCTTCCGTCACATCAGGATGTTTTGCCAACACCACCGATGTATGAATGTTGAACTTCTTTCGCACCGTACAGAGCCGATCGTGCTAATCGGAGCTGCGAGATTATCGGACGTTGTGTACATGTGTACATGTACGGCCCTTGTGTCAATCCACTGCTGGATCAGGGCCCTTAGACTGGCAAGTTGCTCTTCGTACAGCCTTACGCAAGAGAGTATGCGAATGGACACGATTTAATTCTGGCCATGTGTTGGCTTGCAAACATATCCACGAATGGCTTGCCAAATTGCCTGCACTTCAGCGGCTATGTGGCCTCATTTTAATATTCAGATGATTTTCAAAAGCCAGGTGAGTGCCCCGTCACCGAGCGTGCGACGTGTCATTTGTTTATTTGATTATTTACACTGTGCTCTTTACGGGAAAACTGCAAAGCACAGATTACACGGGTCAAATGCAGTGGCCGATTAAGCTAGTGCGGGGGCCTGTAGCATATGTTATAAAGGGGCCCTAAATAAAATAAAACCCCGTAAATATTAAAACACTATTTTTTATTTGCATAGTAAAGTAATTGTATTTTTTCATTTGCTATACAGCCAGATAATACGACAAATCGCGAACTTTAAATACCCAGTCGTTCATAAAAGTTGAAGGCGGTAGAGTACTATAGTAACAGAGCAAGTGCAGAATCACTGAACCGGAATTGATAGCTTGAACGTATTTAGCGCGGGGCCCTTGAAAGTGCAGGGACCGTCGTAGATGCTACTTGTGCTACTAGGATAATCCGGCACTACCTACCACTACCCCCTACCACTACGCCAATCACGACCCCTATCACCCCTATCACTACTCCTACCACTACCCCAACCACCTATCACTACCCCCATCACTAACCCAACTCCTATTACTACTCCCCATCACTAACCCAACTCCTATCACTACTCCCCATCACTAACCCAACCCCTATCACTACTCCCCATCACTAACCCAACCCCTATCACTACTCCCCATCACTAACCCAACCCCTATCATTACTCCCCATCACTAACCCAACCCCTATCACTACTCCCTATCACTAACCCAACCCCTATCACTACTCCCCATCACTAACCCAACCTCTATCACTACCACTACGCCCATCACTACCCCAACCCCTATCGGTCACTGGGGGGGTTTGTGCGATCACATTTCAGCACGAACATGACTGCGGGGTGGCGAAGGGAGTTAGGGCCACGACCAGTTCAGATATCACCGACGTGAGCCGTGGGCGGGAATCGAACTCGGGTTGCCAACATCACAAGCCAGTGCTATAAATGCAGGGTTGCTGTTCCGCGTAGCAGATAACAGTGACCTAATTATTTAATTTTCCTCTTTTTTTATTTTACTACCAGGTAAGGCCCACTATACTATACGGCTCTTTTTCAGAAGCGACCTGGCCACAAATGATTGCTCAATGAAGCGGCTTATCACGTGGACATTTTATAGCTGCCAAATACTTCAAATTAATGTTTCTCAAGCGTTCCAGACGACCACAGAAGCGCATCTGAAAGGGAGCGATGCAGTGACCATCATTGTTTGATAGTTAGCCAAAAGCCGCTGCGAGGATGACCGGAGTTTGCGGGATGGTTTATGCTCCTTGATGAGATCAGCAAAGTATTGTGGTTTATTTGTGGCAAGCACTTCGTGTGTAACGAGTGAATCACAATTCCTAACCGGTGTTACCGCTGCTACCACATCCATCATCATAGCAAATCAAATGACATAGATGTAATCACCGAACAGCCCATTCAACAAATTATTCTGTGGATACTTCAATGACTTCACTTTGTAAACCGGTAGCGGCTACTGCCCACTCTCTATTGGTTTTATTGTCACACTACGCAACCATTTACATCAAGCAAGAGAGGAAATGTCAACTAACACGGTGACTCCCCACGGTGACCCGGCTCCATCCCATAATCAACAGGGATTTGACCAAACATCCCGAATGTAGCTGGACCCTCCTGGCAATGAGTTGGGAATCTACTACGTAGATTTTTACAATTGTTCTGCGTAGCTGTCCGATGTGTTTCCCGGTTGTAGCGCGTGCTGTTCGGCACGACGTCCGACGTTTCCCGCTTCACGTGCTGGGAGATTCGTCAATAAAGAACCTCTGCAATAACTATTTCCTGCTAAAAATCACAGAAAAAAAGTGTGACATCACACCGAACAACACGAGGTACAACCCGTAAGCGCAAAGGAGAGTTTGGCTTGGGGACCAGCAATGTTTGCCATGAAGAAAAAGTGACAAAAGGTACTTCCATCCCACCGGCAACTTGTGTACATGTGGCCGTGTGGACGAGATAACTTTTAAACTTTCCACAAACCACAGCACTTGAGTTTCCCTCACCCCCCAATCTTTTTATACACCACTCAGGTTGGCTGCCAACTCCAACAAGAACAAAAGCCAGAATTTTTCTGGACGATGTCGCTTCTCGTGCTGGCCTGAATTATAGGTCAGAATTTGGGCCAAGTACAAACGCGTCACCAGACATGTTACACTCAGAAAATATTGTAGATGGCCGAAGCATTTGACATTACATTCCAGGATGGTGACCTGCCCAACCCAGCTGATAATGACTCGAGTAGCTCAGAAAATCATGGCATGACCAGAATGTAACCGACTCAAGTTGTCCCTCAAATTGAGTTCACAGAGAAAATGCGGGTGGATATCGAGTACATGCGATTAGGGGCGGTGACACGGCCCATCGGTGCCACATTTGCCGCACCTTGCAGAGGTTCATGGTTCGAATCCAGTGTTCGCCCTGGTTAATACTCTACGTGTAAACCATGGCGTCGGTGTCCAAATGTGCCAAATTCGAAAATTGCCCGCACAATTACTCGATTGGGGTTACACAAGGCAATCTTTGCCCCTCTACTGGCAGACTAATGACCCAGGTCCCTCTCGCAAACGAGACTAACCTCGTCTCTCGAGTTCTCGCCTGGTTAAATAAACGTAAACTTGAAATTGGCTTTTCATGAAAACCACATAATAGAACGTTATTCCTGCGACTACTTTGTAATTTTAGTCATTAATTACCAAAACCCAGCCCCTGAAAGGGATATATTAAATGCCCAACTATCTATAGTTGAACCCAGTTGGATGTGCACTGAGGACAATTATTAGAAAATTATTCGAGCACTAATTTCAGCAGAAATTTACCAAAGCTGATCAACTACAAATGAGAACTGCAAACTATAGTACCGACCATTGTGTGCAGGTTTCTCTTGAAGTTAAATCCATCTTAATAGCCTCTTGCCCGACTATAAAAGAGGGGCGTTCCATGGAAAACAACAACGTTAATAATTCACTCACTTCATCCACTTAGTAATAATCCACCTACTCTCAAAATAACTCTCCTGCTCGATGTGGACAATTACATTTTGTGGAACATCGTTTTTTTCTCCTGTAAACTCCGCAAAATGACGCGGCTATTTTAACATACACTTTTTTCAGAACATTTTTTACGACTGCCATTCAACTGTCAATCAGGTCATCCTTAAGAAATTGATAGTCACTCTAAGTGGGCTCTCACTTGATTACACTTCTGCAAATTACTACCGATTGATTAAACAAATGCAGGTCTATCTATTATATGATGTGCTGTGAATGAGGGCCAATGCCCGAAACGTCACCTATTATTGTTCTTATATCATGGGACCTCCTTTGCCAGTACCAAAATATTAGAATAGGCTTTCCCCTTTTTTCTGGCAAAAAAACAAGTGTTAAGATGTTAAAACACCAAACTGAAACCTTTTACAAGGAATCATGTCTGCATTAACCACAATACTTGTGGTCAGAATGCAAACAAAAAACACTCTGATAAAATATGCATTGTCTTTGAAACTGATTGGTCCCCACCAGAGACAGCTTTCTTTTGAGCCTCGTCTCAAACGGTGTTAGGCCAGAGGACGCCAAAAGGCGTACAGCACAAAGACAATGCCACAATCAGAGTAATGAGAGCTCAGGGTGAGCATCTACATCATGGGACCTCCTTTGCCAGTACCAAAATATGAGAATAGATTTTCCTAATCTCTGATGTGGACCAATCAGTTTCAAAGACAATGCATATATTATCAGAATATGTTTTTTTTTTCATCCTGACTACAAGTATTGTGGTTAATGCAGACATGATTCCTTGTAAAAGGTTTTAGTTTGGTGTTTTAACATCTTAACAACTGTTTTGTTGCCAGAAAAAAAGGGGAAAACCTATTCTCATATTTTGGTACTGGCAAAGGAGGTCCCATGATGTAGCTGCTCACCCCGAGCTCTCATTACTCTGATAGTGGCATTGTCTTTGTGCTGTGCACCTTTTAGCGTCCTCTGGTCTAACACCGTTTTGAGACTAGGCTCAAAAGACAGCTGTCTCTGGTGGGGAACCAATCAGTTTCAAAGACAATGCATATATTATCAGAATATGTTTTTTTTTTCATCCTGACTACAAGTATTGTGGTTAATGCAGACATGATTCCTTGTAAAAGGTTTTAGTTTGGTGTTTTAACATCTTAACAACTGTTTTGTTGCCAGAAAAAAAGGGGAAAACCTATTCTCATATTTTGGTACTGGCAAAGGAGGTCCCATGATGTAGCTGCTCACCCCGAGCTCTCATTACTCTGATAGTGGCATTGTCTTTGTGCTGTGCACCTTTTAGCGTCCTCTGGTCTAACACCGTTTTGAGACTAGGCTCAAAAGACAGCTGTCTCTGGTGGGGACCAATCAGTTTCAAAGACAATGCATATATTATCAGAGTATGTTTTTTATTGCATTCTGACCACAAGTATTGTGGCTAATGCAGACATGATTCCTTGTAAAAGGTTTCAGTTTGGTGTTTCAACATCTCAACACCTGTTTTGTTGCCAGAAAAAAGGGGGAAACCCCATTCTCAAATGCAGGCCTCTCTATAAAGCCTGGTTAAACCAGAATCCCCCTTGAAAAAGTACACCGCTGCTCTCAATGAGCTCTTCTTACCCGAACACAACGCTCATCAATCTACCTTTATTATCATCATAGTTGACGGTAAAATGTGTTTGTTGATATTTAAATTTCACTCAAAAGTTATTGTAATTCGGACAACCATGGGAATTTCAGCAGGGCCTTACCAAAGCCAACAGTGCAAATGTGGACGTTAAAGACCTACCAAATTTTACAGGAAAATACTGTAAATCGATCTTTTATTGCGTTTTGGGAGGAGGATTAATGATCAGCAAATGCGTTGAGCCACTCGCCATCTCCACTCCAACCAACCTCTCCACCCATACTCTCCGCGATTATAAGACGCACTTTTTTCAACCCCCCCCCCCCCCCCTGGATTTTACAATCGAAACTTTTAGGGAGTGCGTCTTATAATCCGGTAGTTGTGCGCGTGTTGTCGGGTGGTTAAAGAGTTGATGAAGGATATAACCTTTGACACGCGCCGCAAGTTTTCGGGGGTGCGTCTTGTACACTTGGGGACATTCACAGAGGCAATAACGGCGGCGTTTGTGACAATAAATAAAACCTTAATTCTGGGGCCGGTCTCAGGGGTAAAAAAAAAAAATCTAAAGTTGCTGATCCCCGGCTCTACGTTTAAGCCGCTTTAATATAAACACCGTGGCCTCCATCTCTCTCTCAACGGATTGTGCCACAATTAAAACCAAATCATTGTAATTAACTCATCAGCAGCAGCATAATCAGCTGTGGACAATCCACTGCTGGATGGAATCACCCCACACGTCTCATGATCACGCCGGACACCAAGCGAATTCACAACCCACCACCCGGCACACGCAACGCGCGCATGGATTCATTCACCGTTCCATCTCCACGCGAGACGTCCTCCCCACTCACCCACCACCACTCTCCGTGTCTTTATCTCGGTCTCTCCGTCGTCTCTCGGGACACACCGCCCCATAACCCCGCGGCAGTATTCACGTGGCACGACTAAATACCTTAACAATAGCAAAGCAACGTAACTTTCACCCCCAGCAAAGGGGAAGAAGAAGCCTTGGACCAAAATTCAACCCCAAATGCGCGCAGACATTTCAAGAGACACTCAAAAAAAAAGAAACGGAAAACTACCGGCGCGGTCTGTTGAGTAACTTTTAAAAAAGGAATACATTTAACAAAAAATATATAATTATTTAAATAAAATCAGCGCATTGCACGGACAACGATTCGTCGCGACGTTCATGAGTTGTCGGCACCACACGGGATGGGGGTGGTGGGCAATGTGTTGGCGTCTGTGCGTGCCAATGGGAGACAACAAAAACCACAACCACAGCAGTCGCCACGGAACGAGAGAGGACAGAGCTCCACTCAGCCCCGTGAATGTCTGCGGAACGCTGCGTGCGTGCGTTACGGGGTGTTAATTACACATTTAGCTGCGTGTGTGTGTGTGCGTGTTAATTGCGCGTCTGGTGTGGAACCGTACCTTTGATTAACAATACAATAGCCGGGCACTGCGATCTTTCCTCGGATCTCTCTTTTCTCCCTCCCTCTCGCTTGTGACCGAACCGCAGGACTCAGCCGCAATACGCCCTGCGTCACTTCAACCACGTGGCTCCCCGGGCGCTGCCGGCTTCCGTGCGTACGTCCAGAGTGCCCCTTTGGGTCCCACCGTCCATCACCACGCAGCCTCCCAACCTCCTCTCAATCCCCCCCCCACACTCCACGCTCCGCCCACGGGTTGACGGCCCCCACCGAGCCGAGCGACTGTTGACAAATCGGCAACGTTGAGCGGTTGTACGTCGTGATACCCCCCCAGGGTCACCCATCCACAGAGAAGTTATTTGGTGATGCCGCGTTGGCATTGTTGCACAAGCAGGAATGTACAACAACAACACGCATCGTCAACACGTTCGTCAAGAACAAAGATATAACAATAGGTTTTCACCTTTTTTATGGCGACAAATTAGGTGTTAAGATGTTAAAACGCCAAACTGAAACCTTTTGCAAGGAATCATGTCTGCATTAATCGCAATGCTTGTGGTCAGAATCGAAACAAAAAACACACTCTGATAATTTATGCATTGGCTTTGAAAGTGATTGGTCCACACCAGAGACAGCTTTCTTTTGAGCCTGGTCTCAAAAAGGTGTTAGACTAGAGGACACCAAAAGACGTACACAGCACAAAGACAACGCACTATCAGAGTAATGGTGATGTTAAAACACCAAACTGACTACAAGTATTGTGATTAATGCACACATAATTCCTCCTCAAAGGTTTCAGTTTGGTGTTTTAACGTCTTAACAGCTGTTTTGTTGCCAGAAAAAATGGGAAAACCTACATCATGGGACCTCCTTTGCCAGGACCAAAATATGGGAATAGGTTTTCCCCTTTTTTCTGGCAACATAACAAGTGTTAAGATGTTAAAACACCAAACTGACCACAAGTATTGTGCTTAATGTACACATGATTCCTTGTCAAAGGTTTCAGTTTGGTGTTTTAACATCTCACTTCAGCATTTTTTCTTGCTGTGGTTGTCCGACCTGATGACGATTGCTTGCGTTGCGATCGAAACGTCGTGATCTATTATTTTTCTACCTACGTGACTTTACCGAAAGAACTAACGAGTATTGATTCCTGCAGTCACGAAAGCTTCAAATCAATCCTAGCACCTGTTTTGTTGTCAGAAAAAAGGGAAAAACCTATTATCATATTTTGGTACTGGCAAAGGAGGTCCCTTGATGTAAATTCGTGAGAATTGTATCTTATTATGTTTTATTTTTATTATTTTATTATTTCCCTTCTACGTGACTTTACCGAAAGAACCAAGAATATGCATTGTCTTTGTGCTGTACGCCTTTTGGCGTCCTCTGGTCTAACACCGTTTTGAGACTAGGCTCGAAAGAAAGCTGTCTCTGGTGTGGACCAATCAGTATCAAAAACAATGCATATGGGGCCGTCCATAAATTACGTCACGCGATTTTGGACGATTTTTGACCCCCCCCCCCCTAGTCACACGGCGTCACAAAAAGTCAGACCTCCCCTCAAATCTGACGTCACAAAGCTCTGCCCCCCCCCCCAAAATAAAACATGCTTCAAATCGCTTTAAACTATTGTCATTGTAGTGCGTATTTAATGTGGTGCTGCACTCCGATGTGTTGTAGGAGAAAATACTTATTAAAAAGTACTATTTAATTAAGTAGAACGTGTTGTCTATATTTATTTAAAGTTACGCATTTTGATGTGACGTCACATTTCTTAACCCCCCCCCCCTCGTCACACATCGTCACAAATGTCTGACCCCCCCCCCCCTAGGTGCATGACGTCATTTATGGACTACCCCTATGCTAGCAGAGTATGTTTTTTGTTTGCATTCTGACCACAAGTATTGTGGTTAATGCAGACATTAATTCCTTGTAAAAGGTTTCAGTTTGGTGTTTTAACGTCTTAACACCTGTTTTGTTGCCAGAAAAAAATGGGAAAACCTATTATCATATTTTGGTACTGGCAAAGGAGGTCCCATGATATAAGAACAATAATAGGCGACGTTTCGGGCATTGGCCCTTATTCACAGCACATCATATAACTCACAAGCTGCGTAGTCTCCCTGCACACCAATCAATCCCTGGGTGAACTCAATGATGTGCTCTGAAAAAGGGCCATTGCCTGCAACGTCGGCTATTATATACACAGGATTATAAGGCAGTGTTATTGACTAATATGTTGAGTTTTCTTTTTGGGATATTAGCAGAACGCTACTGCTTGTCTCCATATATAAATAAAATGTTTCAGCCGATTGCATATTAGCTTTGCAGACAAATATTATGATACAGTATTTTTTTAAACAAGAAATCTCTGGACCGGGGCCCTATTTATGATTTCGAATCTGCATCCACTGTGCTTAACAAGCCTATTGCTTATTGATACGAGTCTGGAAAGCCGATAGGCTGATGGACTAAGACAATATTTAACGAATAAATGTGGAAACACAACAGAGTTTCGAGTTTCATGTTGATTTTGCTTAGACCAAGATTAGTCTTATTTGCCAGAGTGACCTGGGCAGCCAAAATGACAATAGCAAAATAAATAAAATAAAGTGCAGCTTTGACAGTCCAGCAATTAAATGGAAATCAGAACAAATACAAACACAAAAAGTCTATCACGTAAGGAATCCCAATTAATGGTAACATATGTTAAATCAAACCTAAAGATACATTTCCGAGGCGAATTACCTCCAGATCTATCACCGCACAAAGGTAAACTAAATAAGCATTAAACAGATATAGGTTTTCTGTTTTACCCATATGTAAACAAAAATGTGTTTCAACTGCTACACGGTGACATACAATTGAACCTGCAACCTCTGCGTTGCCTAATCAGGAGAGCCTCACCCAAGCTCAATATTTATTTTGGATCCCACTTTTTTGGGGATATTTGGCCAATTCCATAAACGAGCGTCTGGCTTCTCGTGGGAGGAAACCGGAGTGCTTGGAGAAAACCCAACACCCATACCAGGAGGGGGACGGTGGCGGTGATAACAGCCAAAGCTCCGCAAAGACGGATGCAAGAATCCACTCGTCGTGCTGCCGTCTACAGGCTCCCTCGCATTCCGGCAAAATGTCAAATTTCAGACCGCTCCTCTAGCTGGGTAGCATCACGGTGGGGGGCTGGACGGGGGAGCTGAGCCCCCCAACTCAGCATTGATTCAAGTTTAACATTGACTTTGTCATGCGCCCCTTTGAGGTTTTGTATGCGTCCCCCTCCACCATTCACTCCGATAAGCATGGTTGGCTCCGTGCGGTGCGAAAGAAGTTTAACATACATACATTTAAACAAGGTCACCTTGTGCAGCGTGGCTCTCTGAGCGCGGTCCACCAATCCCTCGCCTCTCACAAGCGCGCTGGATCGACAGGCGCGTTTGGCCATTGTTCATAATGTCAACCAACACCGACGTCCTTGCTCGAACTCCAGAAACAAAAAGCCAGGGCAGAGCGAGTGACACAGCAGTCATGACAACGGCGTGGTTGTTGGCACGCCAGTGTGTGTTACACTTAGTTCTTCACACGACAACTGAACGGGCGGCCGCATAGACACATCGCCACATCAGCCATCCACTCAACCAGCTCTTAACCGCAGGCCGGGAGTCAGACCCCGGGAGAAAGAGACACCTTCCAGACGACTCCTGTGGCAAGGTGAGTGCAGGTAGAGTTAATCGATGAAAACGAAGTTGTACACACGCCTCAATTCATTCATTCCTTCCTCGTTGTTATTTTATTACGGTCATCAGTAGCGCGACCACCTCGGCGGAAATCATCATCATCATTTAGTTTCTCATCAGCAACAGCGGTCTGATGTTATCCGGAACAGCAGCAGCAGCAGTAGTAGCGTCGCGTTAGTAGAAGCAATGATCATCATTATTAATTCAATATCAGCAGCAGGAGAAGCAGCAATCGTCATTATTAATTCATCTGCAAAAGCAATTATAATTATCGGAAGCGGGAGCAATCATCATGATACATTGTATCATCATTGCCCTTATTATGTTATCGATTTCGCCTGGTATACAGGAGGTCACGGGGTTCGATCCCAACCCCGACGCCTGTATATTTGGAGTTTGCAATTTTCTCCCCGTGGTCGCTTGGTTTTTTTTGGTCAGGTTTTCCGGTTTTTTCCTCCACACTTCGAAACACGATTTTAGAGTAGTTGGCTGCTATAAATTTCCACATGATAAGCCACTTCCTTGAGCTATCATTTTGTGGCCAGGTCGCTTGTAAAAAAAAGCTCTATAGCTCAGTGGGCCTTACCTGGTAAGATAAAAACTAGTTTCGTTTTTAGTTTAATTCATAACCATCACCACCGTGCATGCGTAAAATGAGAACTACCGAGTGAACGGAGAAAATCTAAAACGTGTGTGGTCGTGTTATTTAAGAATATACTGATGCCTGCCGTCATAGCAATGTAGAATTTCCACAACTTTGTGCTAATGCATCGGTGTCTTTTTGCATTTGCTACTTAAGAAAACACTCAACAATTGATCAGGGCAGAGTGAGTTTCCACGACGTGGTGGTTGCGTCATAGCAACGTGGAACCCAATCGGAGAAAAGCAGTCTGGCTGATGCTCAATCGACAAGGAAAACCCAGCAGTCGTCTGTTGAACAAGCTTGACCCTGCTGATGAAACCCAGAATGTCGAAACCGGTTCCGATATTGCTTTGCTTGAGCAATTGCTTCTGGATTCATCCTGGTCAGCTGGAGAGAGAATAGTCGCATAATAGGTTGATTATCTACATGCCTAGTGGTGCTGTCTTCGTGTACGTGGCCTGTCATCATCCAGCACTGTGGATACGATTGTCGGTGCATCGCACGAAGATTGTCAAAATCTCTTCCCGTGAGTGTCTAGGAGGTGCCCATACCCTGGCTCGCCAGGCGAAGGCAGTACGGCAAGTGGATGAATCGCCGTTATGTTGCCATCAGTGCGGGGGATAGAGTGTTGCCCCCTCTCGCGCGCGTGGGGTTTCTCCCATGGTGTAAAATAAACAACTCGCCATTAAATGGCTGAAAAACATTGTCAAATAAACACTCAATGTAGCAGAACGCTCCTGAAATCGAGTCCCACGACCCAGCGTGGCTTTCCTGGATACATCATGACATTACTGTATTATATATTTTACTGGGCTTACATCATTACTATTACTGGGAGGAACCACCTGGTTCCACCAGCCCACATGGGATTATTGTGTCCGTCCGTCGTGAATCCAAAAATGGGAGGGGTCGGACTGGGTGGGGAGGGGCTGGGTGGGGAGGGGAGGGTGGGGAGGGGCTGGGTGGAGAGTGGGAGGGGTGGGGCTGGGTGGGGAGGGGCTGGTCACCCCGTGGTGCCCTTATAAAACTCAACGTTTAACCTACTCACACCGGCTTGTGCCCGCCCTCACAGTCGGGCATATTTGCGGAATACACCGCGCCGCCGTTGACCCTGGCCATTGACCGAGCAACCCAACGTTCCTACCAGCTCCCTCCGCAGGAATGGGTTATAAGTATACTGTGGATATACACAACGGAATAGTGCGTAATACACTGCTTTGTACAAATGTGCCACGGAGACGCAGATCTTTGTCTTGATATGACACACAAAACAAAGACCCTCAGTATAGCCTTAACAGACTGTTGGGACAAGTACTGTTAGCGAGCAGCTATGAAGGCCGGCACAGCACACGAGGGGGTGGGTGGCCAGCACCACGCCCGGCCGCCTTTGTCTCCCCCAGTGGCGATAGTTTACACACCGCGCCAGGTACACATTTGAGGCTGAGTCGACCTAGGGGAGGCCCAGGACCAGTTCAGATAATCGTCACCGATGTTGACCATGAGCGGGAGCCGAACTCGAGCCGCCGGGTTCGTAGCGCGGCGCGCTAACCACTACACTACCGCTACCCCACCTGTGACAACAACAACAAGCGCCATTCGCCACTAAGTGGCGGTGACGTCACCACGGCGCTTGTGCCAGGCTAGGTTCATTTTCATTTCATTTTTTTCATTCATTTATTTGGTATAACCCTGTGAGCCATGCGGCTCTTGACTCGGGTGCAACCGCAACAAAAACATGAACAAGAAACATCTTAAAGTGACTACACGCAACAGAAAAATTCCAGAAAAAAACACCGCATTTCAACGCTGTGTGCAAAAAATCCCAGTGGGATGCAAGTCAAACAATAACAACCATGAGACAATTTAGATTAAAGTTATCAGTCTAACTCTGTACTACAACAAACAAATATGACTAAACCAAAACGTATTCGAAATCACCAAAATAAAGCTATAAAAGCAATGTAACAGTGATCATAGGAATTGTGATTCAAATTTAACAATAAACGATATACATAACATGTACGACCAAACTTTGCAGCCATAGATGGCTGCATGAGTCACTCCATAACAGCTGGAGTATCTTCTTGGTTCTTTCGGTAAAGTCACGTAGAAGGGAAATAATAAAATAATAAAAATTAAACATAATAAAATAAGCTGGAGTATCGGTAACAGAATCTAAAATTTCCAATACACCTTTAATGATCAGCACACTATAATCAAAACTCAAGACCATACTTTGCAGCGGTCATCCGGAATGATGCATTTGATTTCAGGTACACGTTGAGGCCACGTGATGTGTCGTACGCCCACCGGCAGGAGGTCACGAGACAGACCCAGCAAGGTACCACGGGTCACCTGACTGAGATGACTGACCGATGCACCACCGTTGCCCCCCCCCCCTCCTGTGACACACACGCACACAACGCAGCTCGAGTCATGTCGAAGCGGAGCTGGGTCGGAACGATGCTCGGCTCGGCGGCGTCCCCACGTGTGCGCCGACTCGCCAACACGTGCGCGTCCGCCTACTTCGTGGTGTCGTCCTCGTCGCTGGCGTTGCTCACGCTCCTCCTCACGGTGCCGCACAACTGGAGCGGGCCCCTCCGCGTGGCTCTCACCGCCGTCGGCCTCTACATGTGGCTCAACGTGGTCGCCAATTACGCGCTCTGCGCATTGAGGGGAGCCCCCGCAGGTGTGCTGCTGTGCACGTGCGTCTGTGTGTGTGTGTGTAGAGTGTGTGTCTGTGTGTGTGTAGAGTGTGTGTCTGTGTGTGTGTAGAGTGTGTGGCTGTGTGTGTGTAGAGAGTGTGTCTGTGTGTGTGTAGAGTGTGTGTCTGTGTGTGTGTAGAGTGTGTGTCTGTGTGTGTAGAGTGTGTGCGTCTGCGTGTGTAGAGTGTGTGTCTGTGTGTGTGTAGAGTGTGTGTCTGTGTGTGTAGAGTGTGTGTCTGTGTGTGTAGAGTGTGTTTGTGTGTAGAGTGTGTGTCTGTGTGTGTAGAGTGTGTGTGTCTGTGTGTGTAGAGTGTGTGTCTGTGTGTGTAGAGTGTGTGTGTCCGTGTGTGTAGAGTGTGTGTCTGTGTGTGTAGAGTGTGTGTAGAGTGTGCGTCTGTGTGTAGAGTGTGTGTAGAGTGTGTGTCTGTGTGTGTAGAGTGTGCGGGGAGCGGTAGTGTAGCGGGTAGCGTGCTGCACTACGAACCCGGGTTCGATTCCCACTCACGGCCAACAACAGGTGGCGATTATCTCGAATTGGTCCTGGGCCTCCCCTAGGTCGACTCAGCCTCAAATGAGTACCTGGTGCGGAGTGTAAACATCGCCAAAGAGCGAGACAAAGGCGGCCGGCCGTGGTGCTGCACCCCCCCCCCCCCCCCCGTGTGCCGTGTCACAAACAGCCTTTGCCACGAGTGTGTTTATGGCTATATGGCTATATGGGAGGGATCTTTGTTTTGTAGTTGTGTGTAAGCGGCGTGATTGGGTGGGGAGAAGGGAGAGGATGGGGAGGGATAATTGATTGGATAAGGGAGTACGGTACTTGGAGAGCAATGGGAAGGAGGTAGAGATGACGGAGGAGTTCCAGGATGGAGGTTGAGGAGATGGATATGGAGGGAGCTGGAGGCAGCCAGAATGAACTGGGGTAGATGGATGAGATCGAGGGAGATCATTGAATGTGGGCGTAGATGGAGGGTACCTGGACGGAGGTGGAGATGCAGGGAGGTTGAGATGGAGGATATATAGTACATGAAGGAAAATGGAGAACGGTCGAGGGAGATAAGGGGTGAGGGTGGAGGAAAAAATATGGGATGAAGGAGATGGAGAGCGGTAGAAAAATATGAAGCGAGCCAGAGATGATACAGAAAGCTTTGAGATGATGGGGACAATAAGGAACTGGGGGGGACCTGCAGGGAGATGATCAGCGGTGGAGCTGGACAGATGGCATTGTGGGAGCTGAGAAGATATGGTGGATGTGGAAAACAGGAGTTATCTGGGAGGCGCTGGAAGTGTCTGGAGAAATCCATCGCTCGAGGTTGCTCGAACCTGGAGGCGCCGCGGTGGTGAGATGTTAACTACCTCGCCTGGTATACAGGAGGTTGTGGGTGCGATCCCGACCCTGATGCCTATATGTTTGGAGTTTTTGCACGTTCTCCCGTGGTGGCGTGAATTTTTCTTGGGGTCCTCCAGTTTTTCCCTCCACATTTAGAATCAAAATTATTTTGGAATATTTGAGTGCTTTACATTTCCACGTGATAAGCCACTTCGTTGAGCTATCATTTGTGGCCAGGTCGTTTCTGAAAAAGAGGGATATAGCTCAGTGGGCCTTACCTGGTAAAATAAAAAAATTGTGAGTTGGGTCGAACTGTATAGTTAGAAACTGGTGGAGGTGTAGGAGGTTGCTGGTGGCATTAGACAGAGCTGAAGGGAGCTGGAATTACGACAGCTGACACGAGGTGCAATAATCTGTCTTCAAGCTCACTAGGGTTGCTGGCTGGATCGCACTTAGGGCCATATAATAATCAAGCAGCAGCACCACCAATGAGATCACCGTTTAAACCCATTGTTCTATCGACACTGACTTCGTAACTCATTGACATCGACACCTCGACACCAACACGGCTTTTTACACTCTAATCGCCACAGTGTACGTGTCACAGAGAGCAACCCTGGAAGATGACACTGCAGAAGTAGTTCTCAGTTTAACACGTAGGCTTTTACGACCAATATTATCCATAATACAGTTTTTTTGGGTTAGTTCTCATGTCTTTCCAATAGGGATCTGTATCAACAAAAGTAGTATGATTTTATATGACCTGCAAAGAGTGTTCGTCGCATGACAAAAACTAAAATGGAAATACTCGTCATGTTAGAATAACCACATTTAAGTGAACAGCGAATAATAATCATTTTAAAGTAGTTTGTAACCGGGCAGAGGCCATAAACTAGCAACAATCTGTCGAGGTTGGGGGGTGTTCCAGGTAAATTGGTCATTGGTTCACGTCTCAACGCAACCTTTTTTTTAAATGATGATTATTTCTAATGACCACAGCACCTCCAGCATCAGAGCGAGGTCACCACCACCAGCACAACCGCCACGAGCACCTCCTGGAGATCACCGGCGACCACGACGGAGGGGACGAGGCCCGCCCGATGTGCGTGCCGTGCGGCCGCCCCGTGCCCCCGCGGGCCCACCACTGCTCCGTGTGCAACGCGTGCATCCTCAAGCGCGACCACCACTGCTTCTTCGTGGGCCGCTGCGTGGGCCACAGCAACCAGCGCAACTTCATCGTCCTGCTCTTCTGGACCGCGTGGGGCAACGCGTTCATCCTCGCCAATCTCCTGGCCTACATGAGCGACGTGCTGCCTGGCCCGCTGCTGTCCCGGCAGGGCCTGCGCTACCTGCTGCCCCTGGCCACGGTGCAGGCGGCCACGGGTGACATGGACCTGGTGGCCTACGCGCTCACGTTGGCCGCGCACCTCTCGCTGGGCAAATGCCTGGGCTGCGCGGCAATGTACGCGTGGCACTTCACGATCGCGGGAGAGGGGCAGACGTCGTACGAGGCCATTCACGAGATGCGCGACTACGACTGCGGGCTGTTTGTCAATCTGCGCCAAGTGTTCGGCAACTACTGGGCGCTCAACTACCTGCTGCCGATGCCCACGGCGATACCGGGCGACGGGCGCAGCTGGGAGAGGCCCTCTAAGTACGACAAGGGGCTGTAGAAGAGACGGGGGGCGGTTATAACCTTCATCAAAACATGCGTACATGCGATGTTCGCGCCACTCTTAGAGCACAAGGCTATCGCGAAGGGTATCACGAAGGGAGTGCTACGTTTCACAGGCACACTCTGCAGGAGTTTCACAGTCGGGGGCGGGGCGGGCGATGTTTGCTATGTTATCAAATTGCGTGCGGGTAATTTTTCAAATTTCCCAACTGTGAACTGTGACCACGCAAGCACGGATGGCCCACTCTTTTTCTTTGGTTTTTCCGGTAAAGAGTATGAATCCTTGCAGTCACGAAAGCTTCAAATCTAGAATTAAGGCCCACTCTTTTTTTTTACTTCACGGAATTTTTTACGTCCAATGCAAATCGGGAAAGCATAGCATTTATGGCCAATACACCCGCAGTATTCACCAGGGCGGCCACGCCTCTCGTACCGCAAACCTCTCCGTAACAAGCAGGAGATGCGCAATCGATCGGCCCTGCCACCGCCCCGCAAGTCCGTGCGCGATTATGTGGCGACTTGAATCTGATAGGACACCGGTAAAGGTGGCCCACACACCGGTAACGATGGCTCACCGCCCAGGTGACTGCGGCGAGACGCAACGACTGGAGTCCGGGAACGCTTGTGGCCCGAGGCATAATGCTGTTTAGTTGTCCCGTTCATTTATGATGGAAATTGAAAACTACGGGTTGTTATGCATCTACAAGACAAAAAACTGTCTTGTAGATACGTACCAAGGCAGTCGGCACCATGATTTAGGGCACGATTTGTGACATTTAATTCATGAGAAGAAAAAATACATTTTAAAGTTATGGACAAGTGTCATTGTAGCGTCACTGCAGCGACAGACTTGATTGTATGGGGAGTGACGTTGCAGGCATGAAGTAATATCGCAGCACCTACCTTCAACGTATTCCACCCCCCCTCCATCCCCACCTATCTCATGAACGAAGCCTCAAACCCTCGCCACACATTCTGGGACCCGCAGCCGAGGTAAAAAAAATCCACGAAATAAGAGTCGCGTGCATTGCACGGTATCTTTATTTCACGTTTCAGGAAGGTGGGCGTGTGCTGCTGCCTTTTTGTTTGCATGTTCATCACAAGTACTGTGTGCGGTTAATGCAAAATATTCCTATTTGGTGCTTGAACATCTTAACACCTGTTTTAGTGCCCTAAATGGTCAAACCTATGCTTATATTTAGATCGTGGCAAGAAAGGTCTCATGATGCAGCTGCTCAGCCCGAGCTATAAATGCCCTGATAGTGGCATTGTCTTGGTGGCGTTCTGTGGTCTAACACTGTTCGAGACGAGGTCCTAAACAAGGATGTCTCTGGTGTGGACCAATCATTTCCAAAGACAATGCATATACTACGAGAGCATGTTTTACTGGTAGGAACCTCCTGGTTACACCAGCCCACAGGGGATTATTGTGTCCGTCCGTTGTGCATCCAAAAATGGGAGGGGTGGGGCTGGGTGGAGAAGGGAGGGTGGGGAGGGGCTGGGTGGGGAGGGTGGGGCTGGGGAGGGTGGGGCTGGGTAGGGGGTGGGAAGGGTGGGGCTGGGAGGGGTGGGGCTGGGTGGGAAGGGTGGGGCTGGGTGGGGAGGGGCTGGTCACCCCGTGGTGCCCTTATAAAACTCAACGTTTAACCTACTCACGCCGGCTTGTGCCCGCCCTCACAGTCGGGCATATTTGCGGAATACACCACGCCGCCGTTGACCCTGGCCATTGACCGAGCAACCCAACGTTCCTACTAGCTCCCTCCGCAAGAATGTGTTTGTTTGCATGTTCACAAGTACGTGTGGTTAATGCAGACATAATTCCTTGCAAAAGGTTTATTAACACGTGTTTTATCGACAGAAAGGGTAAAACATTCTTACACTTTGATACTGGCAATAAAGGCCCCATGTTGTGCTGTGTAAATTAGTGATTGCTTTTGTTTGGCTGTAACGGGGTGGGTGATTGGGAAGGCGTTGATACCTGTGAATGGTTGATTGGGTGGTGATATGGGGGGGGGGGGGGGGGGCACGGGTTTGTAATAAGGCAGTGAGGGGGAGATGATTTGGAGGGGTTATAACTATGGAGGGGTAGCGAACACAAGGGTGGAGGGGGGGATTTGGATTTTGAGGGAAGAGGGCGAGCAGCGGTTTGAAGGAGCAAGCACTTTATTTGCAGATGGGGTGAAAAGATGAATCGTTGTGGTTTTAAAGGACATCTTGAGTTAAGCGTTCACACACACACACCAACTTTCACCGACGTAGTCAGCCGGTTCTTGTATTGTTTTAGTCACTGGTGGCTAACACGCGTAAAGAAATAGGAAGATGAGATTTCGTGGATTTTACACACGCGTTTATTAGAATCAGTTTTGATAGCGACTTGGTATGCTGTGGGCAGCGACAGCATACCAAGTCAATATCGGTCCTCCGCCCGCACCTCTGATTCGCACGGCTGGCTAGGTACGGTGCGAAAGACGTTCCCAACACACGTAAGCGCACTGCACGACAACCCCCAGAGGTTAGGACTTCCATGCTCTGCCATGGCTACTAACAACAAGTGTCGAGTGACATCCGAACCAGTGCTGCCGCACTACCGAACCGCGTGGTGAAGGTACAACCAGAGGTCGCAACCGGGTACCCGATACCCGTACCCTACCCGATACCCGGCTGCCCGTACCCGGCCGGGTACGGGCAGCCGTTTGCGACCCTGGTGCGGCCGGGTACGGGTAGGCCGTGAGTCACTGGTGAGTAACTGTTTGTCACTCATTTCCCAACGTCTTGTCTCTTCTCACAATTCAAGTTCCTAGAATCAACCCACCCGCACCTGCAACATGGCTTCGTCCCAGAGGTCGCAATCAGGTACCCGATACCCGTACCCTACCTGTACCCTGGTGCGGCCGGGTACGGGTAAGGAATCAAAACCCGTTTGCGACCTCTGGGTACAACCCAGGAACCCCCCCCCCCCCCCCAACAACACCCCCCCCCCCACCCCGTGACCAACATAGGGAAGCGTTCATACAACTGTGGGTTCAAAGGCTGTTAATTATTTTTTTACATTTATATTATCTTGCCGGGTGTATCGAGCACTCACTATACACCACTGTCCACGGATCAGCTCGTCATTGACCACTGACCCGTTTGGTAGAATGCACGCGCACACAAAAAAACCATGGATAGCTGACCATTGCAATGCCTTTAATTAATGGGCCATAAGTCAAAGTTTTCACAACACACACAAGATGCCAAGTATGATGTGGCCTAACATGTTGACAGCACTGGCACAAGATTGTGGTGTTTGCTTATTACTAGTGATCGTTTTCACATTCCGACTGAATTCCCTAGTACTTAATCCACAGTGTCATCGCAAGCTTATGCACACATGTGTGTGTGTGTGTGCGCGTCTAATTCTCATCGATAGGTAAACGCGTGTTTGACTTTATGTATACACCGCATTGCGTGAGCAATAAATAGCTTATTTAAAGAATATAAGAGAACTTGCCAGAGCCTCATTTATACGCATGACCTGCTGACACGTGTGCATTTGAACGCATCGATAACGGCTACCGATTTTAAAAGCGACGTCGCACGGCAGCCTTTGAAATGAAGAAGAAAAAACCCCGACAATTTGGTCTTCTTTGTGATTGAGAAGTTTCCAGGAGACACTCAACATCCCACGCTTTTCACCACAACAACCGCCGAAACTTGTTAGGGGCCGTCCATAAATGACGTCACGCACCTAGGGGGGGGGGTCAGACATTTGTGACAATGTGTGACGAGGGGGGGGGGGGGGTGAGAAATGTGACGTCACATCAAAATGCGCAACTTTAAATAAATATAGACAACACGTTCTACTTAATTAAATAGACTTTTTAATAAATGTTTTCTCCTACAACATCAGAGTGCAGCGGCACATTAAATACGCACTACAATGACAATAGTTTAAAGCGATTTGAAGCATGTTTTATTTTTTGGGGGGGGGGCAGAGCTTTGTGACGTCATATTTAAGAGGGGGGGTCTGACTTTTTGACGCCGTGTGACGAGGGGGGTCAAAAATCGTCCAAAATCGCGTGACGTCATTTATGGACGGCCCCTTAAGTCAAATGTAAGGAATATTGAATGCATGATAATCATAAGCCTGAAACGCAGGGTCGGATTTAGGGTTGGGGGTGGTGGGGGTGGTGGGGGTGGTGGGGGTGGTGGGGGTGGGGTAACTCATGGGACAATTATTCAGGGCCCAAAGCTCCAGTGGACATATGGGGGGAAATATATAAATTATTTTCATTATTAACAAGTATAACCCGTAAAAACAAAGTTTTTCACTCTAAATCCTTTATATGCGTGGCGGCTAGAGTCCTCTCGTCCTCTGGCTTGAGATGGCTTCCACCTATGGGTCAGATGATTGTCTGCAGTATTAAACAATTGGTAATTAAATATTTAATTTGTTTTCCCTAAACAGTGTAAAATTTTGGAAAAAAAATTCACGAACATTAATTGTCTCGCACAACGAGTCTGTGTGCAAAATGTCAGCTCGATTGGATCAAGGTAAGTGGGTTAAAAAACGACCGAAAGGTTTGCACGGTCGTAAGCAAGCAAGCAAGCAAGTGAACTTAATATAAAGGATTTAAAAATAGTACTGTTTATTCACATTATCGTTTAGTTTCATTATTTATAATACTTTGTTTATACGTTTAAGTGTAATAGGCATTTATGTGGATTATTACGGTAGCATGAATCAAACCGTTGCTCATGGCATACTTTTAGATGGTAACCTACGTATCCTTTGTTTGCATTGGAGGGCGGCCCTGCCGCAAGGGTTGAACATTTCGTGCGCGTGTGCCCGCTGAGGGCACTTACTCCCTCCACCAGTGTGTGCAGGCCATTTCGGAAGGTCTTTGTCTTTGTAAGGGCAGGAAGAGGGGGAGGAGGTCTGCTCTGTTCTGGTTTCCCCCCCCAAGGGTCAAAGACATCGAAACACAGCGCCGTCTGGATGCGTTCTCGGCCGTCCAAGTTTCTTGCAAGACCCACCTCACTAGCTCGCATTGGCTAAGCCTCGTGCACTCTATTATCCCTTCTCTCCCTCTGGACTGGGAAAGAAAGGCACCGTTCCGCTTGAAGGCTTACAATGGTTCATTTTCTGTGACGGAACGACGATGCATCCACCCTTAAAGCCTTCTCCCAGCGTGTAACGCTGCTCATGTCGCCCAAACCTTCAGATTAAAAACACCCGGGGGGGGGGGGGGGGGGCTCAGCACCACCCCCTACGGTGGAGATGTTTTTAGAATAAATGCCACAGGAGGAACGCTGTGCGGCTTCCGCTGTCATACAGCGTGCGTCTTCGGCGATCCGGTCGCCACAATAATATCATGGCTACTTATAGTTCGTGGCCTTTTCACTTCAAAAGCCTGTAAGTGCTTGCGCGACTGAATGCCCTGCGATGAAAATTCATCGTTTTTTTTGTCATCTCTAAATGACGACCGCGAGTATCCCCCACACACGTACGTTCGTGTTCAATGAAACCGATTGGCTCAGAACCACGTGGGGGGAGGGGGGAAAGCAAACAACATTCATATTTTAGGCTCTGACATTCAGCGTATCAAACCTGATTGGGGGGGGGGAGACATGGCCAGAAGTTTCACATGGAGAGGAATACGTGACTCAGACAGAAAGGGGCCTCATCAGACTAATTTAATTGCCCTCGTTTCTCAAGTGAATTTCTTGCACGTGAATACACCCCCCCTCCCCACTCCATGTCAGATCTGTCCTCTATCAAACTGCAAATCATTCTCAGCAACCATCATTTCCTGTGGATCTCCATTAAAAAAACCCTCAATGTTAGGGGAATGAATAAGTGCCAGAGTTGCTGGCATGACTGGAATTGCAATTGGGTTAATTCCGGCCTCCAAGGCTTAATATCAGCTGGGTCCAGTCATCGACCTGGAAAAGCTCTGCACCTGGCATTCGACATCCAGCATACCTCTCGCTATGGCTGTGGATACTATGTCTACTCCAGGTCTACTATCGACCTGAGATATTCAGTGAGAAACTAAACCCATGTCAGTCTACCTCTGCCCTCTCCTCCTCCACCCACCCCACGAAGCCGCTAAGATTTTCCTCTGAGACTGCCGCCCATCGCTGCGACAGCCACTGCGTTTAAAGCGACATTCAATATTCGCACCTGACGCCTGCCCATAGTAGCGGCAATCTTCCTCCGCTTTAATTTCAAACGTCTCCTCAATTCACACGACGAACCGTCAGAGGCATCAGCACAGAATATTCTACCCCGCCCGTAACAACTTGAATAACGGAACTGCACACGCGTGACACTTTCAAGCTAAACATTTAGCAAATTGAAAAAGCAAACACCTTTATGTTAAGAATCAGATGGTTATCATGTTTATTCTTCGCCTTTTAACGTCTGATCCATCTGCCTTTTCAGCGACCCTCCCTATATGGCACAATGTCTACGCCTTTGAGTTTTCTGTCGGCTGATGATATTTAAAACGTTTGGGGAGGGGGGGGAAGAAAAACCCCAATAAATTCCCAGGAGGCGTCAATGGCTTTTTAAAGCCATCGGTAAAAAGGCAAAGCCCTGCAATTTTTTTGTGCTGTGCTCATGCCACTGTTGGCGGAAGACCCTCAAACTACCAGGGTAACTCTAGAGACGCCCCTCCCTCTAGAGGGTAATGTGGCCCACACTTCCACGCTGGCAAGGTGGCTCGGGTATGGTGGGAGGCAGTGCCATCTAATCCCACTACAGGTGAGCTACTGCTCGGCTAATTGTCGAGCCTTACCCCATTAGAAATGTCCACAGCACACCAAAAGAATAACAGCCTTCGTAGAGACCACGTGCTTTTCAATCACCATTGTCTTTTACGGGACGTCCCATTCAATGCCGCCGTCACAGACCCCTACTGTCGCGTGTATAATTTGCGAGCGATCGTTTAAACCGAGATAGGCAGCTTGCCCTGCCTAAATGTCTCCATTTCACATCAACACCCACTCACGTTACCCACCCTCCTCGCTTCATCTCGCCATGAGAATTGAGTTTCATTGTTGACGATGCCATACGCCATGTCTATCATCACTCCTTTACAACCCGCACAACTGAGCTCTGAAACCCACATCAGCCTTCTCTCTCTGCCTAAAAACGCGACTTACATTCCTTGTAAAATTTACCGTTAATCGCTCAACATTAAAATCCGATCTTCATTAATTGCAAATTTCAACAGAGATACATCGCGTTTAAGCGACCCTTCTTTGTTCATGACGCGACGGCGAGCGCCTTCCCTAACTAAACACCGTCTTTCAGCGTGCCCACTAACCACCACCACCGCCGCCACCACCACGCTCTAGGTGTGAACGAGCGAGCTGAGCCCCGGGTAGGCTCCCGAGCGCAGCATGGCCTCCTGCACGCGCAAGCACGCCCCTGGATCGCCCACCCTGGCCGCCTCGCAGAAGAGGCGCGCGTGCTCTCTCAGCTGCTGGATGTCGCGCCGCGTGGCCGCGCTCTGCTGCAGCAGGGTCTTGAAGCGCAGCGTAGCCTCCATGAGCCCAGAGCTGTTCAGGATCTCCACCGTGTTACGGAAGCGCAAGTCGTGTTGCCGCCAGTTGGGCGCCGAGTGGCGGTGCCGCCGCTGGCTCTGCCCGTTCCGCGCCTTTGGCGAAGCGACAGCGCAGCCTGGCCACTCGTGATCGCCGGCGTCATCGTCGTCGTCAACATCATCGCTGCGGTCGTAGCTGTCGCCAGCTGCCGACGGTGACGGAGGAAGCCGGAGTGGCGAAGGCAGCAGCAGGGCGCCGACGCCCGCGGTCTGGGTTGGCGTCGGGGAGCCCACGGGCACGGTATGTATGGGAGAGGCCTGTGCCGTCGGCACATGGGCAATGGCGGTGGCGTTGGGCTGCTCCGACGAGGGCGCCACCCCCAGCGCGGGCGACAGCGTTTGCTCGCAGCTGCTGCGCGCCGCTCTCCTCGACGGCGCCACGCAGCCACCGAAGGCGAGCGGCGACGACGCGGCCGCGCGGACGTCATCCCCCTCGACCGCCGGACCAGAGGGGAGCTGGCCCCCGCCCGTCGGTGCCGCGTCCTCGATCCTCCTCTGCGGGTACGGCGCAATCTTGGGGTAGATTGTCGGTGGGCGGAGGGGACGGGCTACGCCGGCACGCTTGCCGCTGCAGCCACCTCCGATGATACCGGCAGCAGCGGGCTCGGCCGCGCGGCTTCCCACTGAAGGGGTGGCGGCGGCCAGCTGCGGCTGGATGAAGAGGAACTGGGGTGCGGGCGGTGCAGCCGCGATGCCCAGGGGCTGGGGCCAACAGGACTGCAGCGGCGCCGAAATCAACTGCGTCCCCATCAAACCCTGAACACATAGGCACACGCATGCCACAAGGTCAGCGCTTGCTGCGCCGAGGACAGAGGCATTCGCACTGCGTTTCCATGACCATGGGGAAAGCAGGCGTATATGACAGCTCTGTTGTCTCAGTCCCTCACACCCCATATTCCCTTCATCCCATTCCCTTCCTTCTGTGACCAGAGTGTGGGAATTGTATATTTTCTATAACAAGGTTTAACAGACAATTTGGGTTGCATCATAAAATCAAATATTTTTTTGAATTTATGGTTCGGGTAAAATTGACGAGTTCCCTTGGGAAATGGAGCCACGTGGCACATCAAAAGCGAACCACGTGGCCCATTTGGTACTCCTAAGGCTGTTAATAGGAATCTGCGGCCGAGTAGTCCAGCTTCTCCAGTGGTCAAGGGAATGTGGCATTTGACCTGCTCTGGTCCGCATGGTTAGAAAAGGTTGCAACCAACTGAAATTTAACCCACTTTAACCACCACCATTGTTCACTTTTGCCATGGAAAATATATTTTTTCAAATGTAATCAATAAGCGTAAAACTTTCTTGCTAGGAAGTAATTAATAACAGGATGGGGGACGTCGAGCAATTGCTTACTCCCCAAAAGACCGGGAAAGGGATGACCTCAGGGGATTTAATTAGCTGGACTGAGCAAGCGTTTCATTGGGGCCCTCTAGCCCAGACCAGGTTAGATTTATGCATGCACTTGGGCAAAGGGAGAGCCGAGACTCGCACACACCCCGAGGGTTGGAAACACAAGGCCATGACTTTAAGAAACACCCGGCAAAAGAACAGCCTCACAAACGTTATTGTGTGCAGTGTGAAAATATCATTACTAGGGAGACAAAAGGCAGTTGAGTGGAGTATCAGCCATAATAGCTGGCCACTAAATGGCATTTCAACCAGCGTTAGAAAGCGGGGAATTATTGTTTTGTTATCAGTCTCGTTAGACGCACCTGCCCATAGCCCACGATGTAGAAGGGCTGGATGAAGCCAGGGAAGGCCTGGGTGGCAGTTGCCGGCTGGAAGGGACCCTCCTGGGTGGTGGGTGGTGGAGCAGGTGGTGGGCCGGGGACGGTGCGACGGTGGGGTTGGTGGCGCTGTCCGGGATGACCCGGCGCAGCACACTCCTGCAATCGGAGCTCGTGTCTGTAAAGAGCAGCATATACCGCACACCGACCGATGGGAAATATTAAAAAGACTTTTATATATTTATGAGACACATCAACATAATAGACACCTGTGAAAAAAGCGTTATAGCTCAGCATATTCCTCCACTATAAAAAATGCACATACTACCAGGGAAACCCATACAAGTAACTCAACGGCCTACTTGCTGTACTCCTATCTGCAGGACACTTTGTAGCCCTGAGAGTTTTACGTTGTCAGGCGATAATCTGCGTGCGATCCACCAACACTTCCTTTGAAGTGCCCAATTAGAGGCGTCACCACATCCGGCACAGACAGTGATTTGTATCTTGGTGGCCACTTATTACCCTCACATCACCGTTCGTAGCACCGGTCTGGCAGAGATGGGCAGTATCTAAATAACATGTCATTTAAATAAGTAATTTAATCACATTTGCATTGTGTTACTGGTATCTACACAACTCAAATGAATTTGTATCGAACTTGCATGGGACGTGGTTAATTGATCATCTGTATCTTTATGGCATTACTCCACAATAATTTGTCATTTGAAAGCAGTCTGCCCATCTCTCCAACTGCCACTGGAAACTAACGACCCCCGCCACAACCGCCGTCGGTCGTTACCCGAGAACCCAGAATCTTTCTCCGCGTCAGCGGCAGCCCACCGCCGACGCTGCTGCTTGTGCGCCTCGTCATCCCGGTACGAGCCATCGTTGCTCTCCCGGTGCCGGCGCTCCTCCAGCCTGGCCGACTCCATCGTCACGGTGACAACCGCGCTGTGGACAGAGAGAAACTAGGGTTGGTCAAAACGGTAAACTGGTAAACTGGTAAACTGCGAACCACATTCAGAATCGATTACTTGTTGCTGCCGAAGTCAGGAACCAATAATCCGTTTCCAGTGTAATATTCGTAATGACACGCGCCAAGTAACTTCGTTGTACATTGGTGGTAACACATTTTTTTACGTTTTTGTTGCCAAAATTTTTTTTATGTACGTGCAGAAAAATATTGTTACCTTTCTATATTATTGCAATTACCAGTGATGCCCAAAAAAACCCTACTTTAAACAACCAGAAAAAAAAACACCCACACGCACAAACTGAAACCTTCTACCCACAGCCAACCTTGCTCTGAGATTAGATTTCAGCGAAGACCTTGCGCCGTGAGGTTATTTTTGTTCAATTGTACGTCACATTTGTGAGTGTGGGATGAGGAAAATGCAAGCCCGAACGACACACACACTAGGAGCCAATAACGCCTCTCTAAGCGTCTGGTTCACATTGACCCTGCTGCGAATGCCATCACCTGCCTCCTCCGCCCCCAAAAAGAGACTGCACATCACCCAGACTGATAGCATCACAAATAACTACTCCTCTACACCACACAGAGCATCACTACCACACAGCAAAAAAACACGATTAACACACACACACAATATACATCATATTATACATTCCCATTACAGTGATATTTATATTCTCCACAACGAAGCAAATTATTTAATTGATTTTATGTATATCATTTTGCCTCGAACTGGGACCCCATATCTTAAGGGGAGGAGGGGTCCTTGCCATATGCTTGGCAGTTTAAGGAAAGCCGGACTGCTGATGACACATCGCGTGTCGAAATGGGAGTTTGCGTGTCTTGAATCAATGCTGCCGAACTCACAGAAGGCCGTGCCGCTGATGGTTTGTGTAATACTTTTGTGTTTTATGTGGAGAGAGGAGAAGAGTACGTGAAGGAGATACAGTACGCTTATTTTACACGTGTGTTGAACTTCTTTCGCACCGTACGTAGCCAACCGTGCTAATCGGAGGTGCAAGTGGAGTAATATGTTATATGTTCTACGCAATGGAGCATGTTTGACACGTGTGATTATGCACATGTATGATAATCACGTGCAAATCATTGCCCACTACCTGCCACGACACGCATCAGAGAAATGGGGTCATCGAGTGAAGAAAAAGGAGCATGGCAGAAGCGGGCGTGCTTTTAATTAAATTGAGTAGCGGACTGGAGAAGATGCACGGGTTAATTGCGTACCACATTCTGTTCAGAAAAGTGGCCTTGGGCAAGTTGGGCTTGGCCATGGCCCGCCAAGAGAGGGCAGACGATGGCCGATGGGTCAAAGGTTAATAACGTAACGTCTCTCTACGGAGATGGATTGAAGCCATGAAAATACGCCTCGTGTAACCCATTTAATTGTCTAAAAACGTAACTATTTTTGTTAGAGGTTTATTTAAAACAGGAATGAATATGCAAAGGTGGGAAAAAATGCGGGGTCAATTAATTTTGGGGTGGGGGGAGGTGTCACAAGACATCTGGACCAGCCTGATTGTGAGTTAAGTTACAGACGGCAACAGCAGCAACTTGGAGAATCATCATCCAGCAGTGGATTGACCACGGCCGATTATGACGATGTGTTAATAAGAACAATAATGCTGTGTGTAGACATGTGCATGTCTGCAGTAGATAGAGAACGACGTGAATATTATTTGGGTCTTTCGGTAAAGTCACGTAGATTGGTTCAAAGAAAATAACGAAAAAATAACAAAAAAACTACGACGTTTCGATCGCAACACAAGCGGTCGTTTCCTGCGTAGTTTTTGTGTTATTTTATTTGACCCTATTTGAGTGACTTTACCGAAAGACTCAAACAATATGAATTCCTGCAGTCACGAAAGCTTTAAGTCAAGATGATTTAACACCACAACGAATGATCATGTGGATTTTACATTGTAGAGTTACTATGGTCAGTTAACCCTGGGTCTCTCTATCTTGCCAACTAGACTCAACAGGAGTTCTCTCACCATTGGAACCTCCTGTAAATGCTTACCCCGAGCTCTCATACTCTGATGGTGAATTGTCCTTGAGTTGTGCGCCTTTTGGCGTCATCTGATCCAACACCATGTGAGACTAGGCTCTAAGGAAAGCTGTCTCGAGTGTGGACCAATCATTTTCAAGGACAGTGCATACATTATCAGAGTTGTGTTTTTTGTTTGCATTCCGACCACAGGTATTGTGGTCAATGCAAACATGACTCCTTGTAAAAAAAGGCGTCAGTTTTGTTGCCAGATAAAAGGGTAAAAAAACAATTATCATATTTTGCTACTGGCAAATAAGGTTCCAGTGGTGTAAATGCTTACCACGAGCTCTCATACTCTGATGGTGCATTGTCTTTGAGTTGTGCGCCTTTTGGCGTCATCTGGTCCAACACCATGTGAGACTAGGCTCTAAGGAAAGCTGTCTCGGGTGTGGACCAATCAATTTCAAGGACAGTGCATACATTATCAGAGTTGGTTTTTTTTTGCATTCCAACCGCAGGTATTGTGGTCAATGCAAATATGACTCCTTGTAAAAAAGGCGTCAGTTTTGTTGCCGGACTAAAAGGGTAAAAAAACAATTATCAGGAGTTTTCCCACTCCACTGCTGGATGGATGGTCTCCCTCCCAACCACCCACACCGGGAAAGACGGGGAACACAGAAGCACCGTACAACGTTGGATTTAGCTGTGCTGGTAACCCACGTTATCCCTGCGTCCTAGAACAACTAGTTTGTGGTGCACGGCTTGTCACCAATCAAATCACGATACAATCTTAGCTTAATCATTACTGTACCCTATAACATAGGAACTCTATGGTATAAATGACACATATTTACAATATGTATTTAATACACGCATTGTGGAACGGTGAACTACCGTAGCGAATATATACATTATAAAACCACGTGCGTTTGTTATACACAATTACTATGTGTAATGGCATATTTACATCGCTGAGCACAATTGTGTAGCATTACACAGATCACCGTATTGTTACTAATGTGTGGTCACAGTTGGACACGTGTGTGTGTGTGTGCACTCACCTTTCAATAGTGTCTGCGTCGCTCTCCCCACGTCCCCTGTCTTTTATATAAACATTTTAACTTCCCCGTGCGCAATGTTTTAACCTTTTTAAACCGGACAGAATTAGACGTAATAGTGGTTTTAGCACACTGCCACAGATTCACACACACACATGCAGGCGGACCAGCAACACACACTCGCGAACACACACGCCCCAGTCACGCGGCTCCACACGCACGGGCCATGCCAAATACGGACCCCGTCTCCCCCCGCGCCCGCTAGCACAGTCACGTGGGATCCGTAGCAGCGGGGTCCATATTTAGCATGAGTGATAGAGGAGGGGCCGCGGGGGGTGTGGGGGATGGTGCAGGGGGGGGGTCTCTTGTCTCTCGTGTATGTGCGCATGCGCACGAGGAGTTAGCCCCGCCCCACGGGAGGAATGGGGGGGGGGAGAAGGGTAAGGGCTGACAGAGGTTGTTGGAGTGGCTACGGACAGTGGCTTGTTGCTGCGACCAAAGGCTGTGTTTTCACAAAGAGACAAAGGAATTTTCAATTTCAGACGTAATAACCACGCGTAACATGTATAATGAAATGTTAATAAATAAATATTTCAAGTTCAGCTATTTTAATTGGTAATGTATTTTAAGCATAAGACCTTGTTGAAGAATTGGTCTATTCAATATATAAATAAAGTGATATTACACTTAACTAATTTGTTAAAGAATTTCTAAAGATTTACTGTATTGATTTAAAAATACATATCATTAACATACTACAGAGAAGCACTCATCTGCGGGTTCTATTCTTTCTATTATTCGTGAATATCCTAGACTTTTTCCATAAGTCTTTGCGGAACGCCACCCTATGCTGACCCGCCCCTACTGGAAATCTGTGAAGAAAAAGCTTCATAGCTCATCGGATTTCTCCAGGATAAATAAAGATTCCGATAACTGGATATTATCTGCACTTTTTTTTTACCCCACGAATGAAGAGTAAAATCGCGAATAATAGAATCCACAATAATGGTCCTCAATAGCGCTGCGCATTTGATGAAGTTCTCCTGTACAACGCATGCATCGTATACGATAAGTGATCGCTTAAACACGTGGTGTTCACACAACGCGTTTTCGTTATAACGCGGTTCTTCCATTCGGGAACACTTTTCGCACAACGTGGAACGCGCACCGTTATAACGCGGTTTTTGAGCGGTCCATGATGAACTACTTTTTTAAGCTGCGTGGCTGAGCGGAATGATACAGTGGCGCGGCGGCGTACCCTCGGTTGATTTTCCCAACACCTCGCTTGCGTGTGCGTGCATCGTATCTCGCCAAAATGTATCTTTATGTTATTTATGGGGAAATTGTTTTCGCCTAACTCTGCACTTTTCAGGAACCCATCTATCGCGTTAAACGAGGACTACCTGTGCGTTGATTTGTTTTGGTTTATGCTGCATGGAAAACATTTTTATGAATGCATTTATTTGCTTGGTAACTCGGTTCATACATTTCTTCGTCGATGACCAAATCACTCGGTGTGCACTTGATCTCAAAAGTTAAGCCTGGAAAGTGCTTACACGGGCGACCAAGCCGTGCACAAGCAGGCGCTGTAGGCAGCTGAGCGGCTACGTGGTGGGAAGCAGAGGGCAGTTACAGAAAAGCCAATCGTTCTACAGTTATTGCAAATACGTCGTCACTCTATGATTACCACGACTTGATTTGCGTCGCCTCAACCCAGGCTTCCACCACCTACCCTGTACGTTTCTTTGATGTACGTCGTGTAGAGATTCGTCGCACCTTTCAGGAATGCATCCCCAACGTAAACCGGGATATTACTGTGCTATACTTGTAGGCGGCCACGTCTATGATCCCCACCTTTAACACGGAGTAAGGCTTTCGCGACCGATATGGTTCATAATGGAGGTTTTTTTTGGGATAGATTGCGTAAATATGTAAATGTATCGTTAAACCCGCCACCACCCGACACAGGCAATTAGTAAGGGTTGTCACGTAAACAGAGCATGCCAATTTGTTACGAGTACAGCACACCGGTGTGTTCGAGAGCCAAGCCACAACATTTACAATCTGAGTACTGCGTTTCCCCAGTAGTTGCAACTAGCATCATCAGGCGACAACCATATTTGTGGATAAGTCCACCTTTATTAACTCGCACTGAATTTCGATTTAAAGCTTTCGTGACTGCAGGGATTCATCTTCTTGGTTCTTTCGGTAAAGTCACGTAGAAGGAAAGTAACAAAATAATAAAAATAAAACATAATAAAATAATATAATATTTTATTATGTTTTATTTTTATTATTTTGTTACTTTCCTTCTACGTGACTTTACCGAAAGAACCAAGAAGATAACTCGCACTGATCAGACAAAGCCCCACGACCGGCATGGCGCAGGAAGACCCTCATCCAGCAGTTGATTGAAAAAGGGGCTGCACATCGAGATGTATGGCGTCTAAATGCGACCACGTCTCAAGACGCTGCGGAGAAACTGGGAGGTTTTTTTTTTTTATAGAGGCCAGGGGTTGTCAACCTGCGACTCTGGAGCCGCATGCGGCTCTTTAAAGACTGCTTCGTGACGTTGTCTATTCAGGACCACCATCTCGTATTCACCACGTGGGATTTCGGCTCTTGACATTTTGAGTTTTTTTTACCTAATTCCAAAAAAATGGCTCTTATTTTGGTCGCCGGCCTCTGATATAGGCAGACATGGCCAGAATAAATAGACATTGAGCTTGGAATTGAACAAGGACAGGGGAGTCGACATCACAGATGGCTGGTGAAGGGGGATGCCAGACCGTGGGGCCAGCAAAGGAGAATGAGCGACCTCCCACTGAGCAAAGGTCAACTTGGGGGCTTTGACAGAAGAGATGGGCGATATGAGAACGGGGGAGGTAAGATAATGAGTGTTGAACACAGGAGTGAAATGAGAGGGGAGAGGGAGGTAGGAGAGTGCGTGGCAGGGAGCAATATTGAAAACGGTGATTGGAACATTAATCTCGTAATAAATTTGGATATGATGATGATGATGATAATGATAACAATATTCAGTTATTGAAAGTACAGAAGGCTGATGGTTCTGCTGCTGTTACTGCTTACTGCTGCTTATGATAACGTTCAATGACGCTGGTGGTGATGATCATGCTGATGATGATTGTTATGATGGCAGTAGTGGGTGACTACAATGATGATGAATGTGTTTTGTGGTGATGATGGTGGTGATGAAGATGACAATGGAGGAGGTTGATAACTAACGGTGTTGATGATGATGGCAGTCACGGTGATTAACCCACATAGGCACCATTTAACAAGACGCAAGGGTTCACGTTTCAGGAGACACGTTTTTCTTTATTCGTGATTATTTACAATGCTGCTGTGTAGGAAGTGTGTGGGTGGACGTGCTGGGAGATGTGTGGGAGTGGAATAATTCTGTGGAATAACAATCATCATTTCTTTTTTTTAAGGTTGAAAATAATTATTTTGGTGACGTAAATTTTAAATAAAGCTGCACATCGTAAGCTCCTGAATGTATATATTTTTTTAATCATGGAGGGAAGTGGGATGCCGATGTGGTGTGAGGGGTAAAGGAATCATAACAGGCATAAGTGGGATAATCGGAGAGGACAACATGAGTCCCGGTGTCCTTCCGTGACCCCACACCCAGCTGTTACAAAGCCCTCCCGGAACTCCGTGTTCCAGTCGAGAAGGACAGGACGCATGTCAGATATAAAAAAAAAAACCGCAGCCTTCCATTCGTCCATCGTTTGCAAAGTCCCATAATCAATGTTCAGCCACATACATGCTTGTGCAGACCCTCAGACCCCTCTGAAAGTCTCGAAGTCCATATTGTGATCTTTCACTCAATGGATGGCATGGGCCGGGTGCTCCACACCGCATCTCACATGCTGTCCTCTCTGGACTTCGTTTATCCAGTTATTCATTGTTCATCCAGATGCCGATTGTCATCCAAACCCCATTGTTCGTCCAGATGACAATTTTGATCCTGACGCCATTGTTCATCCAGATGCCATTGTTAGGGGCGGGTGGGGGGGGGGTTCTTCATGGCTTATTACAAGCTCCAATTTTCATCCATGCCTCATTGTTCAGATGCCATTGTTAATCAGGCCGCATCGGGGCCCCAATTCTCCGGATTCAATTCTCATTCAGGCCCCGTGGCTCTCATGCCTTGATTGTTATTCAGGTGAACATTCTCAGGCTCCATGGGTCATTTTTAGCCCCCAATGCTCATCCATACCCCAATTCTCATCCAGGTCCCATGGGTCATAGCAGTCCCGTGTACCATCCAGGCCCTCTTGTCCCTTTGCCCCAGAAGCTCAATATCTTCAATTGCAGAGTAGTGAGATTTCACAACTCTTCTCAGGGCTCAGGAGGTGCCTGATGATCCAGTCTGATCGTATCAAAGTTATTTTTGCCCTTGCAATAAATATGCCTTCTGGGGCACTCTTCCACTCTCTCCTTCTCTCTCTCTGGCAGCTTAAATATATTTATAAAATGTGGTGGAGAGAGAGAGTGAGGCGCAGATGGAGGGAATGATCATCTGGGCCTCTCGCACCTGTGATTCATCACGAAGCACAAACACACACACGCACGTGCACACAAACACACCCAGGAAATGACACGTTAGTACCCATTTGCAGCTGTAAAAAACTGACACGATACAATGTATTCATTTGACATAACCATATTTTAATTTGTCTGTGTTTTTGTTTTAACATACTGTATCTAAAAAGCTGAAAATTAAAAATTAATTCCCAAATATTTGAAATTGCACCCCCGTAAATGGCATCGCTCCACTCTGGATACTGAATTTGCATTGCATTCCATTATGTACTTGGGAGGAGTGGTGGCACAGCGGTTGGCACGCTGCACTATAAACCCACTGATGTTAGCCACCACGGCTAACATCAGTGGCAAGTGATATCAGCACCGGCCCTTACCCCCGTGTCCCTCTTCACCAACCTGCACTGACCGGCGCGGTGAAATATGGTCAAAGAACCCCCATGGCCAACAGCATATGGAGGCCTTCATCCACCGGTGCGTTGATCGAGAGCTGGAGTAAATAGTATTGTTTATAGCCCATGGTATAGCACCGATTCCTTTTCGGGTTGAACACTTCAGGGCAAAACAGCACAACCGCGAAGAACGATGCAGTTGCCCCCGTGACATCATTAACGGTGGCGAGATGTTATCGCCTTTGCCTGGGATGCTAGATGACTTTGGTTCAACCTCTATCCTGACGGCTGTAAATGTTGAGTATGCATGTTCTTCCCGCGGTCTTCGGGATTTTCCCTTCACGTAAAAAAAAACACGCGTCGAGATTATTTGACTGCTCTAAATGCCCACATGATAAGCCACTTCGCTGCGCTGAACAGAGCCCGCGGTTCGGTGGACTTTAACTGGTGAAATAAAAGTTTAGTTTTGGCTATATATCGTTATCCTAATTGTTGTACGTCAGTGGTTCTTAACCTGGGGTGCACGCAAACTCCTGGGGTTGCACGTAAGTTACAACTACTTTGTTTCATCAAACCTATGCATCTATTGACATTATACACGTTTTAACGATTGAAAAACCAAAGGGGTGCAAGGCTGCTGTAAAGGTTAAGGACCACTTCTGTTCGTGATCGAAGAGGGTCATTGTAGAAAATACATTGTGGTCACACCCACCACACTAGCCTTGTCCAATCACCAACAAGGTGGGCGTGGCCAAGCTAAAGGGGGTTTTCTAATTGATCCTGATAGCGGTACCCCGGGGGTACCAAATAATACAAAATGAGCGAGGCAATTAAATATTTTATTTTGGGACGCAATTTTTTCCAGGGGTGTACTTCACTTCGCGACTGGGGTGCCAATGAATCCGACATCAGTGCTACTCCACGATGTCGAAACGCCAAACAGCATAAAAAAATCCGTTATCGAAAAATTCAACTTTGAATAGTGCATCGTGTACAGCTCGTCGAGATGAGTCGATTGCCGCATCGCCGACCATCGACAGACTATAAGTGACTGCATCACGGACATGGTGCGAGAGCCGGGGTGCCATTATAAGGTTCAATTGCCCTCTTCGCATCATTCAGAAGCCAATTCTATTCGGAACCCTGCAGTGACCAGTGTGTCATCGGCATGTGTCAGAGAATGTTCTCAGAAGATGACAGCATGGTAGAACTTCTACCTCTAAAGTCAATGCAATAGTAGGCATCCTTCTTCACACGAGGTGCACGCCTGTTTAATTATGCCCCCATGGCAAAAAAAAAGAAATTTGTAAAATTTCCAACTCACTCCATTCAACTGAGAACCCAGTCTATTCACAGGTGCCTGCAGTGCTGCGGCTCTAGAGCAGTGGTTCTACTGGGAGGAACCTCCTGGTTTCACCAGCCCACAGGGGATTATTGTGTCCGTCCGTCGCGCATCCAAAAATGGGAGGGGTGGGGCTGGGTGGAGAGGGGAGGGTGGGGAGGGGCTGGGTGGGGAGGGTGGGGAGGGGCTGGGTGGGGAGGGGAGGGTGGGGAGGGGCTGGGTGGGGAGGGTGGGGAGGGGCTGGGTGGGGAGGGGAGGGTGGGGAGGGGCTGGGTGGGGAGGGTGGGGAGGGGCTGGGTGGGGAGGGGAGGGTGGGGAGGGGCTGGGTGGGAGGTGGGAGGGGTGGGGCTGGGTGGGGAGGGGCTGGTCACCCCGTGGTGCTCTTATAAAACTCAACGTTTAACCTACTCACGCCGGCTTGTGCCCGCCCTCACAGTCGGCCATATTTGCGGAATACACCACGCCGCCGTTGACCCTGGCCATTGACCGAGCAACCCAACGTTCCTACCAGCTCCCTCCGCAGGAATGTGTTTAACCTGGGGGTGCGAGATGCCCTTTCTGAGTCTGCAGTAAATGTGAAGAACCGCTGCTCTAGAGGATGCAGGCTGTGCAACTGCACCCGGGAACCCATGGGGCTAAAGGAGGCCCAGGCAACCGAGCTACGAGGAAGGCGGGAGGGGATGAAAATAAAATTCAACTGACAGCCCAATTGTAATGTCCTCGCAGCAGGGGTCAAAATCAACCACGCGTACACCACAGGGTGTCTATCAACTGCGCGACTCTCAGCAGTTATGCCGGCTCCATCGTCTCTGAGCCTCCTCCGAGTCACCCAGGGGCCACTTGCAAGTTTTATTTTTTGGGGTACACTTTGAATTTGTGGTGTGCGTGGGTGGGTGGCGGAGGTGAGGATCCCAGAGAGCCTGGCGGGGGGTGGGCTGGGGGGGAGAGGAGATGGGGTAGGAGGGAGGAGGAGGGGGGATGGGGAGGAGGAGGAGGGGGCAGGGGGAGGAGGAGGGTGGGAAGGAAGAGAAGAGGAGGGGGATAGGAGGAGGGGGAATGGGGAGGAGGAGGGGGATAGGAGGAGGGGGAGGGAGGAGGAGGGGGTAGGAGGAGGGGGGATGGGGAGGAGGAGGGGGTAGGAGGAGAAGCCCTCTCCGCCAACTCGCCTGCAGCTGCTCGTGTTGAGGAGCCGGCCGCGTTGCAGGCAGCGCGCCGCGGGCAGCAGGCACGTGCACGCGCACGTGCGCGGGTCCTGCGAGAAGAGGCTGCGCCTGCGCCCGACGCACGGGGGGCACGTGCTGCTGCTGCTGCTACTGCTGCTGCTTCTAGAAACGCAGAGACAAAGATTCCATCGGTTTAGCCTGAAACAGTGGTCGGGACGAGTGCTGTGAAGCGAAATGGGCACCTTACGAAGGTTCGCGGCGGTAGGGTGTGTGCGTGCGTGCCAGCACCACGCCCGGCCGCCTTTGTCTTTCCAGCGCTGATGTTAACACACCGCACTCATTCGGCGACCGGTTCAGATGTTCGCCCACTGATTGTTTGTGGCCGTGAGCTCCCCACCTCGCCACCGCAAAGACAAAGACCCCCCCCCCCCCCTGGCCCCCGTTTCGCCTGAACAGACATTGACGTGCAAATATTCTTGGTTCTTTCGGTAAAGTCACGTAGAAGGGAAATAATAAAATAATATTAATATTTTTTGTAGAAACAATAAAGAAATATAAATATATGATACAAATAATAAAATAATGTTGCAATAATATTTATATTATATAAATATATTTAGATTGTTTCCCTTCTACGTCACTTTACCGAAATATCCAAGAATATGAATCCCTGCAGTCACGAAAGCTTTAAATTAAAAAAAATTGACGTGCAAGTTGCTGATGGCGAGCATCTACGAATGCCACCGCACGTGACGTTGACAAAAATTAAACTCGTTGGTGCCACGTGCCGGGTGTGACGCTTCGCACCGCTGAACTCGCGTCACATCATTTGGTCGTGGGCTATCTATAAATAGATCGCCCTTGTGTGATTATATCCAGCGTTCCTATTTGACAGGTTTTCGCCTAAAAATGTTACGTGTGTGTGTATATACACGCACGCCCCAGTGTGTGTATATACACACACACTGGGGCGTGCTCTTGTGAAACTGGGTGGTTTGGCACAGTTGACTTGCAATGCAGATGTCGCATGCTTTGATTTAGATTTTTGCGGTACGGCAGCTGGACAATGGACACGCTTCCTAAGGGGCCGTCCATAAATGACGTCACGCGATTTGGGACGATTTTTAACCCCCCCCCCCCCCCTTGTCACACGGCGTCACACAAAAAGTCAGACCCCCCCTCAAATGTGACAAAGCTCTGCCCCCCCCCCAAAAAAACCATATTTCCATTTTGAAAATAAAACATGCTTCAAATCGCTTTAAACTATTGTCATTGTAGTTCGTATTTAATGTGGCGCTGCACTCTGATGTCGTAGGAGAAAACATTTATTAAAAAGTCTATTTAATTAAGTAGAACGTGTTGTTTATGTTTATTTAAAGTTGCACATTTTTACGTGACGTCACATTTCTCCAACCCCCCTCCCCTCGTCACACATCGTCACAAATGTCTGACCCCCCCCCCCCCCAGGTGCGTGACGTCACCCAGCAGTACGGATGGGCTCACCACAGTTTGCTGATGGACAGACGTTAACTACCTCGCCTGGTATACAGGGGAGATCGTGGGTTCGATCCCAACTCTGACGCCTGCTGCTGTATATTTGGAGTGTGCGTGTCTCTCTCGCACGTGGTCGTGTAGATTTTCATCCGGGTTTAGAGTAATTGGCTGCTATAAATGTCAACACGATGATCCATCATTTTTTTGCCAGGTACCTTCTTAAAAGGAGCTATATACAATCGCTCAGTTGGCCTTACCTGCTAAAATAAAATTTTAAAAAGTTTTTGGTTTTAGATGATCGGCAGGTCGCGTGCGGTGAGGCAACGTGTGGGTGGCTCGCCACTTCTCCCAAGACGTCTTGGCCATTCATGGCAACATCGGCTAAAATATCAAAAGGGGTTCTCTAGTGGACGCCCTTCCGCCAGCATTGGCGTGCGCGAGAAATTGCAGGGATGCACCTTTACTTATACAGAGACAAAGATCCCGTGTAAAGCCTACATAGGCTGTTGGGGCAAGTGCTTGTTTGTGAGCACCCTTTAATGCCGGCGCGACATACGAGAGGGTGGTGTAGCTAGTTCTGATGCTTACCCAGCACTGCAAACAGGTACTGTGCAGTATTCATTTAAGACTGTGTTGACCTATGGGAGGTCCGGGACTGGCTCTCACTCAGGTCGCGGGGTTCATAGTGCAGTGTGCTAACTACTGTGCCACCACTCCCGGGAATAGAGAGAGAGAGAGACACGTCGTGCCAAGACACCTTGAGTTTGTACATCGTGAATGTTCAAACTTTCCTGACGTCATTGGCAAAGTGTAGGCAACTGTGTGTAGGCGTCAGGGTCAAAATTACCCCGCAAATTACTCAATTGGGATTATACGTAGCAATCATCTGCCCCAACTAGCAGACCCCAGGTCGCTCTTGCAAATGAGACGAATCCTGGTCTCTTGAGTTCCCACCTGGTTAAACATGAAACAAGTGAACTTAGAACTTGATGAAACAGTCGAATGACTGAATTATATTTACCCAAAAAAAGCCTCACTGAGTCTCAAGGCTTTTACATATATATAAGTGAGGGTCCTGCACTTCGATATTTGGCCAATTCCACGAACAGGCCTCTGGGCTAATGTGAGAGAAGGCTGAAGGATCTGGAGAAACCCCAGGACACACGCGAGGGATGGGTGGTGGCGGCAGCGGGGGGGTGGTGACATCCAGCCACGGTGTCTCCTGGCCACAACCTCGCAGTTTCCACGCCTGCATTACCCGGCAAAGCCTCTGGTCATCCACATACAGTCAGCTGTCCTATAACGCGTAGAGTTTTCATAACGCGATGAATGTATTAAGGAACACTTTCTATATATAACGCGGATGCGAATTGGATATAACGCGATTGCGTGAACAGAACTGCGTCGCAAAAGTAGGAATAAGCGGTTGTACGGCTGCCTCGGCGTAGCGTCACACAAGGAGGGATGCTGCTGGATGCTTCGAGATGCTCTACCCACGCATCTTTGTTCAGCCTGTGTACACATCTCACGAGGACTGTGCTTTACCATTTTTTTTCATAACGCGTTTTTTTTTGCTCATAGCGCGGTGTTCAGGAACGCAACTACCGCGTTAGAGGAGAGAACAGAGTGTACGAAGTGGTCTCAAGGTGGCCGACATGAGGCGCTCTTCTTTCTACCGTGATCTCATTGTACATCTGCATCGTCGTTGGGGATATAAGCGCCGAGTCGTCACGTTGGCGGAATAGTGGTTTCCGCAAACATTTGGCAGAAGGAACAACCAGATTGCAAGTTTTTATTTTGACCACGCTGACTTGCGGTGTGATGCTGAGCAGCAGAGGTGAACACGGCAAAATCCGTTGTTGTACTATACTATCCTCCAATGCCTACGCTCCCCGCCTTCACCAACCGGTGAATAACGCTCACTGGCGTGCGGAAGACCTCATCCAGCAGTGGATTGACTAACGGCCGTACGCGTACGTGTGCAGGACTGCCATACGACACGCTGCGGGTCGTATGGTGTACGTTTTTTTTCCTGTGGGGTCATACCACCCAGCGGTTGCCGTTCTCGTTGCGCTGTTGACCTTTGGGAACAACAACAACAACAGGATAGCGCAGTGCAAGAACGGATGTTGTCCTTTAAGGGACAACACGCTTTGGGCCACTGTGGGAGGAATGACGGATACAGGCCAAAAAACGTGCTTGGCAGTCAACTAGTACATTTTATTTGCGCCGTGACCTCTATATTCGGCCGTAAGATCGGCTGATAAACTGGTTTCAGCCACTTCATGAACCGGACTCTTTGCGCTACAGCGCAAAATCGCCTTCGCTAACCTGCTCACGTTCCTCCCTTAAAACAACCCTCATCTCTTCTCCCCGAGCCCATCCAGCTCCGACCAGAGCTACACCTACCACTACCCCAACCCCTATCACTACCCCCATCACTACCCCTATCACTACCCCTATCACTACCCTTATCACTACCCCCATCACTACCCTTATCACTACCCCATCACTACTACCACTACCCCAACCCCTATCACTACCCCAACCCCTATCACTATGCCTATCACTACCCCTATCACTACGCCTATCACTACCACTACGCCTACCACCAGTGCCGGATTAAGCTAGTGCGGGGCCTGTAGCACATGTTATAAAGGGGCCCTAAATAAATAAATAAATATCTAAATATTAAAACACATTTTTTACTGGTATAGTAAAGTAATTGTGTTTTTTCATTTGCTATACAGCCAGATAATACGACGAATCGCTAACCCTAAACACCCAGTCGTTCATAAAAGTTTAAGGCGGTATAGTACTATAGTAATAGAGCGAGTGCAGAATCACTTAACCGGAATTGATAGCTTGAAAGCATTTAGCGCGGGGCCCTTGATAGTGCGGGGCCCGTAGTATATGTAGCTACTTTTGCTACTAGGATAATCCGGCACTGCCTACCACTACCCCTACCACTACGCCAATCACTACCCCTATCACCCCTATCACTACTCCTACCACTAACCCAACCCCTATCACTACCCCAACCCCGATCACTACCCCAATCACTACCCCCCATCACTAACCCAACCCCTATCACTACGCCCACCCCTCCCTAACCTCTTCCGCCTCTTCTCCTGTCACCTACATTGCGTCTTGGAGTAAGGCGCTAGACAAATCTATCTAAGATAAGAAAACGTGCACGCTGCTGTTACCGCTGCACTGAACAACACTTCTGCAATCTGAACCCACTTTTTTTGGAGAGCATTTATGCACAGGTGACCAATGCGTGGGTGGGTGATCAAAAACACATTTTGCCGTGCATCTCAGGACAAATCAGAACGAACGGCAACATCGGCAGACGACGATCCTCGTCACGGCTTATATGTCAAATAAATAAAAATCCCCGACTAAGAATCCATACGTTAAAACAAAGAGATAGCTTCTCACCAACAGATGGCGCTCGCACTTCTTTTGTCCAGAGCAGAGTTCTTCCATTTGCAACCATTGTTGGGTTTGACAGCAGCACGATGATGATGATGGTGGGGGGGGGGGGGTCTCACTATTTGTGTATTGTCTGGGGGCCGCATGTCAGGGGGGCAATGAAGAACACTGCTCCCCCCCTTCCCCCCCCCTGGAGTATTTTACTCCGGGTCAATCCGTCGGCGTAATTTGATGGTCGGGTCATAGCTTTTCTGGTGGATCGCGGAGCCCTTTCAGATCCACAGTGCTTGTGGCGTGTTCGCCGTGAATGCATTCCTTCTTAACCCTCTTGTGACGCTGTAATGGGGAGGGGGGGGGCGGGGGGTAACGATGATCTAATATGAACCAAGCTGGAGAGTTATTCCCAAACAGCTATTGCTGTTTGGGAATAACTCTAGGGAAAGGCAGCCAAAACAATCAGAGGGTTACCCAAAGCCCCAAAAGATTCCCAAAAACCAGCGCTAAAAGGCAGCGCCCCCCCCCCCGCTGCCTCTCCCCTCCCGACGACGTCGGTACGCGCGACGTCAACGTGCGGCGTCACGCTTCATGCTCCACGCGACGTTGTTCCTGCGCGACCTGCAACGTAACGTGACCCGTTTGCTGATGGACACCCTTTTGGCGTGAGATAACCACGCGTAACGCATGGATTTTCTTTTTTCTTCCGTGGGCTGTTCTGGCTTCTGAGCAATCCCGCGCCCGTTACTTTTTCCGACGTGACGCGTCGGTTAAAGCGCTGACATCGCGGCCGTTCATCTGCTTACGGGCTTAGCGCCGCTGCTCAGTGGCAATGGGACCTCGCGAGCGATGGATTTATTGCTCATGGGCATCGAGTACAGAGGGAAACGTCGGTGAGAATTTCCACTAAAGAGCCCAGACGAGCGGGTCCGAGGTTTGCGCCGAACGGATCAGGCAGCTCGTGTCGGGTGCGCCAAGTTGGCAACCCGTTTTAGATCCTGGCACCAGATGCAAACAAATTCCCGGAGTTAAAATTGCTTCCTAATTTTATGGCCACTCTGATTTCCACTGCGAATAATAGTGTGAGAGTTCTCACGTCTTACGTAACTGACCCAGTGGGCTTCAGCACCCTCTGTAAATGAAAGCATTGATAACTCTACAGTTATTAGTCAATCGAATACAGTCTGTTCTTCTACAACGCGGCATTTGCATTCCGGAAGAACACCACGCTATGGAAAAATCGCGTTGTAATAAATGAAATAATAAATCGTATATAAGACAGGGTAAAGCACAGTCCGCGATAACACGTGAGATGCGTACGCAGGCTGAACAAAGACTGAGTCGCGTGGGTAGTAGCATCTAGAAGCATCCAGCAGTATCCCAATGCCTTGTGTGACGCTACACCGAGGCAGCTGGGCAACTGCGTGACGCAGATCTGTTCACTTAATCGCGTCATATCCGATTCGCATCCGCGTTATAAAAAAACCTGTGTTCCCGAATACATTCATGGGTTATGTCCAATTCGCGTTGTGAAAACACGCGTTACGGGAGAACAAACTGTACTAGGATGAACGCCTTCCAAATACCGTGTCAGCCATGGGGCTTGTTTAACCATACTTCCCGAACACTAGTCAGTGCGGCTTGGTGAAGGATACACGCCCAGGAACCGGTTCGCTAACCTGCAATGACCAGCGTGGGGAAGTATGGTCATTGCAGGTTGGCGAAAGAGGGGTTGGCCCAGGAACGGTTGTTCGGATATCGCTCACGTTAGCCATGGTGGCCGGGAATCAATCCCAGATCGCCAGGTTCGTATCGCGGCGTGCCAAACCGCAGTGCCACGCCGCTCCATCTCATTTTAAATCATAGGGGGGGTGGGGGGAGACCTCAAATCCTACGCAACACATGTCATTGTGCGACGTGTTGCTTTGACAACAGTGGCACCTGTATCTTAGCAACCGCGAGTCGCACTTCCGTTGGTAGCAGGCAGCTGCGCATTGACACTTGGGAGAATGCCGGGGGTCTCATTCCGGGGGGGGGGGCCCAGTTCGCTGCCAGGCGGTTCGCTCAACCGCTGTTAGCTGGGCCCCCCCCACACACCACACACACCGCACATGAGCGTGGCAAATCACACGACAACAGCTGGAGCAGAAAAAAAAATTCGAAAAAGTCAACAAAATATTCCCACGTGTTTGCGCCGTTGACTTTAGTTTAAATGTAAAACAAATGTTCACAGTAGTGCATTGCCAAGCGTGTCTATCAAATAAATGTTTCTCATTGCCTTTTTAATCGTAGAAATAACATCTATATTTATATTTGGCAACCTGTGGGAGGGTTTCCGTACTTTATAAGCCGTTATTGCTGGGTCTAATGACGTTACAGATATATGTGTGCATGTCTTGCAGTATAGAAGTGTTGTCCTGTTGACCATTCTCATCTGTACTTTTGGTTCTTTCGGTAAAGTCACATAGATAGGAAAATAAATAATAGATCACTATTATTTATTTTCCTATCTACGTGACTTTAATAGATCACTATTATTTATTTTCCTATCTACATGACTTTACTGAAAGAACCTGAGAGTATGAATTCCTGCATTCAGAAAGCTTCAAATCTAGACATTCTCATCTGCTTTAAACCAAAATGCCTACCTGCCTATCTACCAATCCACCTACTCAACTGCCCACCTACTGACTCACAAACCTACCTACTATCCTACCTTTCAAACGACATACCTAACCATCCACCTACCTACCAATCTAACTATCTACTTACCTACCCATCCACCCACCTACTTACCTACCTATCTACCCACCTACCCATGCACCTATACCTACAAAGTAACTTGCTATCCACCTACCCACTACCTCTCCAACCCCATAGCTACCTAACCACCTCCGTACCCTTTCACCTACCTACCTAACCAACCATTTACACATTCAGAAGCCACAGCATGAACAATGCCGGGACGAAAAGAAAGTCGTGGCTCTGCGTTGGAAATGTTCTCTCGAGCGTTTGCAACTTCTGCTCCGAGAGTGTGAAGGTGGATGTGGCGACGTTGACCCTATGCGGGCGGACTCACGTTTTGGCTCCCTCCTTCCGCTGCCGTTCCTTCCTCCTCTCTCGTCGCTCTTTCCTTGATTCAGGCTCCCGCGCTCTGCACGGAGGAAAAGAATTGAACGCCGCGATTCACGTCCACTTTGGCCGGTTTCATCCCGAAGAGTCCGTTTGGAACTGTCGCTGAGCTGTGCGACCGGTGTGAGAGAACGGAAGCGGCTTTCGCAGAACTACTTCCAAAATCTCTGCAAGTCACCTCTTACCTACACCGGAGGGGGGGGGGGGGCGAGGGGGGGGGCGAGGGGGGGGGGCAGAACTTTCCCAACTATGTTGCTACAGAAAGTAATGTTCTTCGCTTGACGGGTCAATCTGATATAGTTTTTTTAATTCTCAGAGATGGAATTTAGGTCCTTGATTCATTCCAGTCAGGCTGAGCTCTGATTCGACTCTGTACGCCAAAAAGACATTACTGAACTAAGTTCCGCGAAACAGAGACTCGCTCACAGACAGGCAAAGCAAATTCCTTCTAATTTGAAGTTTTATTTAGCTGCCAAAGCTGCCGTGAATTGAAAAACTACTTTTTTTTAAATCGCGAAGTCAAAGTGTGTGTACAACCCCACCACCCTCCCCCCCCGAGCGAACACGTGGCGGTGCTCGTCTCATCGCAACCGTCGGCCCTGAGGCCAGTTGTGGAAATTCCACGTTCTCAAGGCGGGGCCCAGTACATCACGGTGTACTCTTTCTAATTAAAACAGCGACGACGACGGCAAACACTGCGACGAGTGGTGCTTGTGTTTGTTTCCCCGACCCCAGTGCTCACCTCTCTGATTTTCCTCTGCTCGTTACTTGTCTGTGGGGGGTGGAGGGGGGTCACAGGTTGTAGAGGTCGTTATGCCGGCAGTGTCACGGAGGTGGTTTGTCAAAGCACAGTTTCGCTTCTCAGTGTTGCCTGTTCTCGTGTGGTGTGTGTGTGTGTTGTCTCTTCTGCACTGCATATGAACACCGCGTGTTGTGTGTGTGTGTGTTGTCTCTTCTGCACTGCATATGAACATCGTGTTGTGTGTGTGTTGTCTCTTCTGCACTGCATATGAACATCGTGTTGTGTGTGTGTTGTCTCTTCTGCACTGCATATGAACATCGTGTGTGTGTGTTGTCTCTTCTGCACTGCATATGAACATCGTGTGGTGTGTGTGTTGTCTCTTATTAACTGCATATGAACACCGCGTGTGGTGTGTGTGTTGTCTCTTCTGCACTGGACATGAGCAGTGTTTGGTGTCCAGCCACTTGCTCACTGAGTGAGTCTCTCAAATGCCCCATCTTGCTCCGAGATGCACTGCGTGGCAGGTCGTGGCATGAATAATAAACGATGGCGGTGAGGTAGTTTAGCGATCGGTTGAAATGTCTGACCGTTTTGCAAATTGAATTATGTATTGGTGACCAATCGATTCAAAACACTCACTGTGGCACATTTTTAGTTAGTGGTGTCCCCTTACATGCATGGGTTTTCTCAAAAATACTCCAGTTTTCTTCCACTCGCAAACAAAAACAAAAACCCCTTAAAAATAGTAGACAGTGGCCAAGCATGCCAGTGCAGGAACCAGCATAGACATATTCTTGGGACTCAATGTGAGGCTTTTCTGTATAAATAATTGCTCTTATTATTATACTAATGTTAATTGACATTACTTCAATGAGGGGGGGGGGTGAATCGGCGACGCCGGGCAAAGTGCCCTGCACTGTGAATTTGGCGACCTGCCTCCGATTTGTCTGACATCATTGCAATAACCGCGAACACAACTTCTGCCACATCCTCCTCCTCCACACACCGTGAAACACACCCTGAGCCCACCCGCTCCCTCCCTAATTTCCCCTCTTGTTTTCTCTTAATTCGCTTTGTGTTCAGGTGGCCGGGTCTTGACTCCAACGAAGCAGTCCTTTTGGTGGATCAGGGAAGGAACGGTGGCTAGAGTTTGGCAGCCGAGGTCTCACTCCGTATCGGTCGAGCGACGTTTTCTTTTCATCGGCTGCGTCACACCGTGTGGAAGCCACCTGGCCTATCACTCCATACGTCGCTCCGGATCTTAACAGCCGCAGTTATGCACTTCCCCTCTCTACGCTTGCAAAACGTCATCTAGGGTTGGATTAGGGTTAAGGCATTGTGCCTTGAAACGTGCGGTGTCACGATCGGCCTCTGCGGAGAAGGCTCGTAAGAGGATGCTACCTTTCAATTGGAGGCAGTCGCCCTCCAACAACAGAGGGCGAAGAAACGACGCTCACAACAACGGGCGGAGTGCCGGGCAGCTAAACGCAGCAAGTTGGCACAGCGGGTAGCACAGATGGTGAATCTGCCAGTCACCTTGTTCAGTCAACCCATTATACCGGAGTCTGTCCCATGACCTTCCTGCCAATGAGCCTTCCACACTTCGCGTGGCCTCAAATTACATGTGGTCTGGCACAAGCGCTACAGTGACTTCACCACCACTTAGTGGCGAATGGCACCTGTTGTATACCTGTGTGTGTATCCGTGTGTGTGTGTACTCACCTGCACTCACACGCACTGTGCTGCACAAACGTCATCTCTTCCAAATACTGCCCATGCAGCGGCTTCACCTTTAGAATCTAAACATCAGAGAACACCACCGTCATCATCATCTGCACCATCAGCATCAGCAGCCACAACCAGCGAGCAACATCAGCACCACCAGTATCATCAGCATCACCAACACTAGCAGCACCAAGAATAAGAAAAGCATCTTCAACAGTATCACCACTTGGAATGACAGCATGGGTTTACTATAGCATGGATATTACAGCCGTAGTATAGCGGTATTGCGTGTATCCGTGTGTGTACCCTTGTGTGTATCGATATTGTAGTGGTTAGCGCACTGTGCAGTGAACCCTGGTCCTGGGAATCCCCTAGGTCGACTCAGTCTTAATCGGGTACCTTTACGTCGCCACTAGAAAGACAAAGGCGGCTGGGCGTGGTGCTCCCACACCGTCGTATTTCATGCCGACCTTCATAGATAATTCTAGATTTGAAGCTTTCGTGACTGCAAGGATTCATACTCTTAGGATTTTCGGTAAAGTCACGTAGGTAACAAAAGAATAATAGAAATAAAATTATAATAAATGAAAATAAATCAATTAAATCATAGATAATTATTAGTGCTCATTGACAGCACTTGTCCCAACAGTCTTGCAGCGCACGTGGGTACTGCGTGGTGGTGGTGTTGTGTTGGTGTGGGCAAGCACCTGCATGGTAGTGTGTTGGAGTGGGCAAGCACCTGCATGGTGGTGTTGTGTGCGTGGGCACGCACCTGCATGATGGTGTTGTGTTGGTGTGGGCAAGCACCTGCGTGGTGGTGTTGTGTGCGTGGGCACGCACCTGCATGGTGGTGTTGTGCGTGCGCGTGGGCACTGCGTGGTGGTGGTGTTGTGTGCGTGGGCACGCACCTGCATGGTGGTGTTGTGTTGGTGTGGGCACGCACCTGCATGGTGGTGTTGTGCGTACGCGTGGGCAAGCACTGGAGCCGCTCGTCCCCGCAACAGCCGGCGCAGCGCAGGAGGCGCACGCAGGGCGGCTTGAAGAGATGCTCCACGTCCCGCGGCCGCTCGGCCGACACGGGCACCAGCACCTCCATGGCGCGGCAGAAGCTGCGCTCCCACACTGCGCGGAATGGCACCGCTGCGTGGGGGGGGGGGGTACGCGCACACGAGCGTGGACAATCGACGTCATTGTCGTCATCATCATCGTTGTCACCGCACTATGTCGTTGTCGTTGTGCTGATGATGGTGGTGGTCGTCTTCATCCCGAGCCCAACTCTAACCCAACTGTCGTCCCAACTCCAACCCCAACCCAACCCTAACTTAACTCTAACCACAACCGCCACCCTAACTCAACCCTAACCCAACTCTAACCAAACCCTAGCCACAACCGCAACCCTAACTCAACCCTAGCCCAACTCTCACAAAACTCTATCCATAACCGCAACCCTAACTCAACCCTAACCCAACTCTAACCAAACCCTAGCCACAACCGCAACCCTAACTCAACCCTAGCCCAGCTCTCACAAAACTCTATCCATAACCGCAACCCTAACTCAACCCTAACCCAACTCTAACCAAACCCTAGCCACAACCCAAACTTAATCTGAGCCCAACTCTCACCCAACCATAACTCTCAGCTTGAGTGTAACTCGTGTGATTTTTGTTTGTCCTTTGAAAGAAGTATTTTGTAATCACAAGCGTGCCTTGAGGAATTGAAAACATGCAACAATATAAATTACAGCATCCACACCCTCCCACTCATACTCACACCGCCTCCCACACATAGACAACACAAACAAAGGTCCCCCCTATAGCCTCGACGGACTGGAGGGGCAAGTGCTGTTAGTGAGTACCGATGAAGGTTGGCACGGCATACGAAGGAGTTGGTGCCCAGCACCACACCGACTGCCTCATTCTGATGTCTATAAACGGGTTCTCGTTTAAGGCTGAGTCGACCTTGGGGTGGCCCAGGACCGGTTCAGGTATTCACCACCGATATTGGCCGTGCACGGGAATCGAACTCGGGTTGCCAGATTCGAAGCGAAGTACGATAAACACGACACCACCGAATCTGATTAGACGCGCACAATCCCGCGTGTGCAAGCTAAAGAAAGTAGCATACACTGACTGTTGGGTTAAGTGCTGTTCGCGAGCACCTAGTAATAATGAGTATTTCAGCTGGAAGAGAGGGAACGATTCAGAGTCACGAGGATGAACCACAGACAAGCCGTGGGATGAACCGACGCCAAGAACTGCCCAAGTTCTGCGGTTCTCTATATATGCAGGTGTTATTGGCCAATTAATAAGCGTTTACTTATGAATCAAACACACCGCACGAGCAGCCAACTGTTCCTTACCTTCATTGCTGCCTCCTCTTGGCACTTCCTCTGTGTCAAACGACTGCTGATACGAGCACACACGGACAAAATACAAGACCACACACATCAACAACATCACGTAAATATTTTATGCTGAGTGATGGAACTAAATGGGCATTTTACCTTGTGGTTATACAACATTGACTGATGATGGTAATGACTACACGATTTATGTACTCGATTGCTGCATTGTAGTAATTCGCGTTTCTCAAAATTAAGAGCAGCATACCAAGTTGTGCACGAGGTGTAACATTTTTAATCGGTGCATATTATAAGAATAACTTATTAATCCAGGAAAGCCACCCTGAGTTCAATTATATATTTTTAGGATAGTCCTGGATCAGGTGCTTTTTTATATTTTTGTCAGCCAATTTAGGAGTTGTTTGCACATGTGGAAGGAAACCGGAGCATCTGGAAGAGAAAAAAACCCATGCGTGCGAAGGGACAACACTCGATCCCCATGCAGATGGAAACGCATTGGAGACTCGTCTACAATTAGCTGATCCGCCTTATCCTGGCGAGCCAGGCTACCGCTCCTCCTCGACGCTCACGGCAAGGGAGTTTCGCGACATCTGTGCGGTGATCCGCCAACCCTCACTGCCTCCACAGCACTGGATTACCGGCCACGTGCACAGCCACCAACAGCCCAGCTGACATGGATATTGGCAGCTGATGAACGACGCACAAACATGGACAATGACCAAGAAAGATGGCAGAAGGGGCTAATAAGTGACCCAAGAAAGCACGGAAAGGTGCATGCTGGGAGTGAGACTAACAAACACTTGGCTCAGAAAGCAAATGAATGTCAGCATATTGACTAATTAGGGGAAAGCAAATGGTCTCGGGCACGACACGTGGCCACAGTTGACGATGGCCAATGCACGCGACTGGTGAAGGAGTGGCAGCCAGGGGAGGGAACGCACGACCACCGACGAGATGGAGTCAGAGGTCACTTCACAGTGCAGGAGCCGCATGGATTGTGGCATCACAGGTCCGTGATGTTGAAGGCGTGGGTTGGCCTTCATCCGGCAGTGAATAGACAATAGACGATGATGATGATGATGATTACAGTGACACATTAGTAATGCTATGGGTCTCTCCAAGGCCTTCACGATGGTCAGGACCTTCTGAGATGATGGGGAGTTCAAACTTTGAATGCATTCGCTTGGCATGAAAGCACAATTGAGTTTGAGGTGATGGCCTCAGCCAACTTCCTCGGCGTAACATGGTCGGGGTGGACTTGTCGCCGAGTGAAGATTGTTTTTTGTCACGCAACGACCAAATAATGGATTTCAGCGTGAACGCTTTGCAGCTCTGATGATTGCAGGTGGCGTGATGGGTCTCGCAAAAATGATCCGACACGAACAAAATGTTATTCTGATATCGTGATGACACGAGGAACGTACCCTACATAAAGCATCCCGTTGTTTGATTGTTCAATATTTATCGTTGTCTGTGTCTGGCTCGTTTGCACAGTTTAGTCTACTCCATTTGTTTTCAAATGTAAAACGTTGGCTTGTGATTTACGTGTTCGCTAAATAACAACTTAGATTCTCGCACGGCCTTAATAATCGATATTAATTGACGAGTGGAAGCGTCCGTTACATGACTACAGTATTCGCAACGACGTGACCTCAAACGAGACACACACACGCCTAAGAAGCGCACAGCCTTTTGTGCATTATCGAGAGAGAAAAACAACAACGACAACCAACATTTGCTGAAGAACTGCATTGTTGGGCAACTTGTCTTCAATCAGCATCAAAATGAATGTTGATGATGGGGCCCCGCGGTGGCTAGGAGATGTCATCTCCCTCGCCGGGTCTACAGGAGGTCGTGGGTTCTATCCCGACCCTGACGCCTGCTGCTGTATATTTGGAGCCTGCACGTCTCTCCCCGTGGTCGCGTGGATTTTTCTCCAGGTCCTCCGATTTTTTCCCCTCCACATTTGGAATCGACACGCGTTTAGAGTATTTGGCTGCTAAACATTTTCCACGTGATAAGCCACTCCGTTGAACTATCATTTGTGATAGCCAGCTCGCTTCTGAAATATAGCTACATTGATCAGTGGGCCTTACCTGGTAAAATAAAATAAAAAAAAATCTTTACATTTGGCAGCAGCAGTGATGATGATGATGCAGTAATTGGCAACGATGGGCCGATCTCCTCCTAATTATTGTCAATCACTGCAGCATCAATGCTGCTGTCGATCGGTCACATTTGCCGGCGTTTATTTTCATCGTGATCCAAGACGAGGTGACCACCAACAATGCAGTTCTTCAGGAACTGTTGCTGGGCGTTTTGTTGTTGTTGCCGTTGAAGGCATTTACACAAATGGCTGCGTCCTTCTTGCACACGTTAGCGCGCTGCTGTTTGAACGCACGGTTTTGTGGCATGCGCTCTCACACGGAGTATTCTGTCCTGGTGGGTAGAGGATTGAACGATGTCGTCGCCGTCGCACGCGGCTTGGAGTGCAGTAATTCTCTCTCGGCTGCAATGACGACCTCTATTGGCCGAGCTGTGTCAATGCATGGACAGGTATGTACGTATGTTGAACTTCTTTCGCACCGTGCGTAGGTAAACCATAAAGAGAAATGTCAATGTCCATAATATATGCGGTATAGCCTCAATGAGCCTCAAGACTCTTTTTTTCGAGATGGTCCTGCTACATTGAAGATGCTTGGCCAATTCTATTATCATGGGACCTCCCTTGCAGGTATCAACATTGCCCTTTCTGGCAACAAAACAGTTGTGTTAAGATGTTAAAACACCAAACTGAAACCTTTTGCAAGGAATCATGTCTGCATTAACCACATATACTTGTGGTGAACATGAAAAAAAACATGCAATGATAGTATATGCATTGTCTTTGAAACTGATTGGTCCACACCAGAGATAGCTTTCTTTAGAGCCTAGGTCTCAAAGAGTGTTCGACCAGAGGACGCCAAAAGGCGAACAGCACAAAGGCAATGCCACGATCAGGACATTGAGAGCTCGAGGTGAGCAGCTACATCATGGGACCTCCTCCCATGCCAATATCAAAATATAAGAATACGTTTTACTCTTTCTGGAAATAAAACAGTTGTGATAAAAAGTTAAACCACGAAACTGAAACCTTTTGCAAGGAATCATGTCTGCATTAACCACATATACTTGTGGTGAACATGCAAACAAAAACATACATGCTCTGATTCGACTTTTGGCGTCCTCTGGTCTAACACAATTTGAGACGAGGCTCGAAAGAAAGCTGTCTCTTGTGTGGACCAATCAGTTTCAAAGACAATGCATGTACTATCAGAGCATATTTTTTTTGCATGTTCACCACAAGTATGTGTGGTTAATGCAGACATGATTGTTTGCAAAAGTTTTCAGTTTTTATCGCCCTTGCAATTTTACTATAATGAGTGTTTAGATTCGCGTGGGGGGGGGGGGGTACTGAAGAACCCACAGAAAACCCACCACGCATACGAGTGGTGGGTGTCACTAAGCAATGACAACTCCCGGTCACATCCCGCAGTCCCACGCCAAAGGCAGTGCGAATGACAACAGATGCCACTTTTTATTCAAATGTATATAATTGTGTTTGGCTGGCCAGGTGAGTAAAAACTCGGTCGGATATCAAGTTGATATGACCCGGTAAGATGCACGCCTGTATTTTGAACTTCTTTCGCACCTTCCGTAGCCAATTGTCTTGGGGAAGGACAACAAACTAAACACACAAAGCAGTTCTAAAGAAATTACTAAGTCAATCTAGATTTTAACGTGCATAACTCCAGTGTCTTCTTAATATCGGAAGGAAGAGCGTTCCAGACGGCCGCAGAAGCGCATCTGAAAGCGCGCCATGCAGTGGCCGTCTTTGCTCAGTGGCTATCCAAAAAGCCACTCCAAGGTCGACCGGAGTTCGCGTGATGGCTTACACCCCTTGACGAGATCGGCAAGATATTGTGGTTCATTCGCAGCAAGCAAAGATGGTGATCGTTTGAGATAAACCGAAAGAGATGTCCAGGTGATGTGGCCAGGTGCATTGTAGGTGTGCAGTAACCATGGTGATAGGGGAGGGAGGGTTGCTCATACCTGCGCCACGGCTCCGTGTAGCATCGTAAGCAGTACGACTCGCAGAGCGTAAAGTCTGTGAGCCATGCCTGGCTCCAATCCCTCCTCTCACAGCATCAGCCTTTCTCTCTCCCGCTCGCTCGCTCCTCTCCTCTCCTCGTCGGTCCGTCTGTCTTTGTTGAGTAGCCAGGGGCGATTTCAAACCTCCATCGTTTTCAAGTCGAAGACGGAGTTCATTTTTTAAATCAAAACCGACGATGCCACCGCACCCACGATCCCTGTCGGGTGCGGTTGAATTTAATCCACGCGAAGCCACGCAAAGGGGTCGGGGTCTGTGGGTCCGGGGGTTGACGGAGCACGCGGAGAGCAGAAGCCTCACGGAGCACGTGAGGAGGAGCCGGGTTGACGGAGCACGTGGGGAGCAGAGGCCTCACGGAGCACGTGGAGAGCAGCGGGGGTTGACGGAGGACGCAGGGAGCAGAGGCCTCAAGGAGCACGTGGGGAGCAGCGGGGGTTGACGGAGCACGCGGGGAGCAGAGGCCTCAAGGAGCACGTGGGGAGCAGCGGGGGTTGACGGAGCACGTGGGGAGCAGAGGCCTCACGGAGCACGTGGAGAGCAGCGGGGGTTGACGGAGGACGCAGGGAGCAGAGGCCTCAAGGAGCACGTGGGGAGCAGCGGGGGTTGACGGAGCACGCGGGGAGCAGAGGCCTCACGGAGCACGTGGGGAGCAAGTTAAAACCTGCAGGCAGAAGTGGGAGAGTTCGGGTCTTCTGCCTTCTTCCTTTCTCTGGCGAGGGCTCCTCTTGAACTCTCTGAGAGGACTCCGAAGGACCTCTTGATCAACCTCCGTATCACTCCCGAACGCTCTGGAATGCCCCGCAATGCTTCTGTGCTCTCTGGAAGACGTTTCAATATCTCCCCATTCGCTTATGTTTTGTTTAATCCAGTCGAAGGCTCTCCGATGCCGGTGTGTCTCTTGAAACACTCTTGAACGCTCGTGGATCTTCTAAAACACTCTTGAACACTTTTTACGCTTTATTCCTGAATCGCCCGGAACGCTCCTTGATCATGCAAACGTCCTTCAACGCCGCTGTATCTTCTGAAGCGCCTCTTGAAGATGCAGTGTCACCGCCGAAACCTTCGAAAAGCTTCGGTTGTGGTTTTGGAACACTTTTGATCGCTCGCGTTATCTTTTGGAACACTTCTCGACGCTCCCAATCACTCCGGGGTCCCTTGGAGCGCTCCGGAATGCTCCAGAAGGGGGGGTCCCAGGACCTACAATGAGAGTTGCACCTGGACTCGACGGATGGCTCCCGAGTGCGCGCGCTCCTCCAGTCCCACGTGCCGAAGGAGGCGGACTGCTGCTGCTGCTGCCTGGGGATTTACACACCCACCCACTCACTTAGGCAGCCACCCCACGCGGCCAGCCACTCGCCAGCCCACCCACTCAACTACTCACCCAGCCAGCCACTCACCGATGACTACAGCTAGCCACTCACCAGCCCACCCACTGGGCCACTCACCCAGCCAGTCACTCACCCACGCATACAGCTAGTCACTCACCAGCCCACCCACTGGGCCACTCACCCAGACAGTCACCGGTGACTACAGCAAGCCACTCACCAGCCCACCCACTGGGCTACTCACCCAGCCAGTCACTCACCCAGCCAGTCACTCACCGAGGCATACAGCTAGCCACTCACCAGCCCACCCACTGGGCCACTCACCCAGCCAGTCACTCACCGATGACTACAGCTAGTCACTCACCAGCCCACCCACTGGGCTACTCACCCAGCCAGTCACTCACCCAGCCAGTCACTCACCGAGGCATACAGCTAGCCACTCACCAGCCCACCCACTGGGCCACTCACCCAGTCAGTCACTCACCGATGACTACAGCTAGTCACTCACCAGCCCACCCACTGGGCCACTCACCCAGCCAGTCACTCACCGACGCATACAGCTAGTCACTCACCAGCCCACCCACTGAGCCACTCACCAAGGCCAGTCACTCACCGAGGCATACAGCTAGTCACTCACCAGCCCACCCACTGAGCCACTCACCCAGCCAGTCACTCACCGATGACTACAGCTAGCCACTCACCAGCCCACCCACTGTAGCAATTCACCTACCCAATCACTCACCAAATTTCCCCAGCTAGATATTCACCAGCCCACCCACTCAACTACTCACCCACCCAACCACCCAACAATGTACCCAGCTAGACACTTACCAACCCAAGTATCCAGCCACCCAAGCGGCTAACTACTCACCAACCCATCAATTTACTCAGCGACCTACCTAGTCAGCCACTCACTAAAACACTTACCTAACCTTCCAATGTATCCAGCTAACCAGCCAGTCAGTCAGTCAGCCACTCACTAATTCACCCACCCAGCCAGCTATTCACCACCTACCAACTCAAACCACCCACCAACTCAAGACAGCCAATGAGTCAATAAACCAGCTACGCACAAACCAACCAATCAACCCACCCAGTCATCTCCCTCCCTCGCTACTCACCCAGGCAGGCAGACCCCCACCCACCGGATGATACCCAGGCCACTCGCGCTGACAGTAGCTGCACGCAGGGCACGTGCTACCGGGAGTCCCTGTCTATCCCTCTCTCTCTTTCTTGCGTGAGTTTGGAAATTAATTTCAAGCCCGATCAAAACGGACGTTGAGCAACGCGCGTTGACACAGCGATGAAGGAAGACCTGCCGCTTGCTGCTGACGGTGGTGTAATACCAATCACGTCGCCGGCTCGCTGCGCTGATTGACTTGCAAGTGGAGAGAGAGAGAGAGAGGACGTACACGGGCGCATTTGACTTCTCTATCCCGGGCTAAGTGTTGTGCGGCAGTAAAACCGATCCCTAGAAATTCCCCGAGACACTCAGCCCACACCTCTCTCTCTCTCTCTCCTCCCCTCCTCACTCAATCCTCCTCCCACTCCTCCTGCTCCTCCACTATAGCCTTCAAATACACAGAACACCGCCCACCGACAACACAAACACAGCAACCACCACCATCACCACCATCACCACAGCGATTGCTGTCACCCCATTCCTCCTCCTCCATCCATCCGTACGACATGGAACACACCCTCTTCGTCTCCTTGCTGCCCTCCCTCCCTTCTCTCTGTTTCTCTTAATAACTTTGTGCTCAAGTGGCCGGATCTTAACTCAAATGAAGCAGTCTTTGATGTAATAATAACGGTGGGTGGTGGGGAGGGAAGGATCGGTGGCGCAGTGGTTAGCGCACTGCACTATAGACCCGGTGGTGCAGTAGTTAACGCACTGCGCTATGAATTTGATCTCCCGAGTTCGATTCCAGGACACGGCTAACATCTTGACTTAAAGTGACTGCAGGAATTCATTTTCTTTGGGTTTTTCGGTAAAGTCATGTAGATAGGTTCAAAGAAAATATGTTTTTCTTTTCTTTTCTTAGAACCTATCTAAATATTTGTATTTTCTTTGAACCTATCTACGTGACTTTACCGAAAAACCCAAAGAACACGGCTAACATATTTGAACCGTTCATGGGGCCCCTCAGCTTCGCCAATTCGCTCTGACCAGCGCGGTGAAGTATGGTCAAACAACGCTCATAACCTAATGACCGACACGGCATGGTGAGGCCTTCATCCAACAGCGAATTAAGAACGACTCTACGTTGTTATCATCATCAATATACAGGAATGCCTCAATAAGTCGCATATCCACATCAGCTTTGATACGATGGGCAGCGGTGGCGTTAGCGTAATGCGAACTGAGCAAAAGCTTAGAGTCCCAAGTGGCTCATGGGGGACATCCGGATTCATGAACCAATAGAGATACAAATATCAGATCGAATTAAAATCCTACTGAACATTAAGGGAGCCAATTGACACGACGAGAGAATTAATCTCTTGTCTTGCAGCTCTCCGTTCTCATCCCACGATCATCGGTCCTTTGCTACATCTCTCTTTACTCACCCTCACTACATCTCTGTCCACGTCGCCCATCTCGTAGCAACATCCCTTCTGTCACCTCACGCCACGGTGGCGAGATGATAACTGCCTCGCCAGCTATACAGGAGGTCGTCGTTTCGATCTCGACCCTGACGCCTGTCTGTATATTTGGAGTTTGCATGTGCTCCCTGTGGTCGCCTGGATTTCTCTTCGGGTCCTCCGGGTTTTCCCTCCACATTTAGAAACACGCGTTTAAAGTAGTAGTTGGCTGCTATAAAATTTAACGTGATACACTACTTCGTTGAGCTATCATTTGTGGCCAGGTCGCTTCTGAAAAAAGAGCTTTATAGCTCAGTGGGCCTTCCCTGGTAAAATAAAAATAGTTCACGGTTTAGTAGTTTCTAATTCTTGCTGATCCGCCCCTGCTTGACATCAGTGAAAAAGAGCTTCATAGCTCACCGGCTTTCTCCAATCTACATAAAGCTTCTGATTCTGAAGAATCATGTCTGCTTAGGGCACCCGATGGGCCAGCACCACCACTTGCCCCATCCTGGACTTAATGGGGAGGGCGCTCGCTTTGCAGGTGATGAGAACAAAAACGATCCCATCAAAACAAACAAAAAATAGCGACGCCCCGGTAAAACCACAAGTTTCAAACAAGAGACACAAACCACGCGTACAGGAAACACAAAGCAGCCTCTGTCCATTCTGCCCCCCCCCCCATCATCATCAGTCGTGCACCGTCGTTATCCTCTCTTGCCTTAGGTCACCTTCAAAATAACTTTAAGCAAAATGTGACCCGACTGGCAGGCAACAGCGGCACAGGGGAATAGACAACTGTAGACAGACGGGGAGCACTTTCAACCACCCGAAATGTTTCTGTGTTAGCGGCACAGGCGTGCTGATAACGCTGTGTTTAGAAAAAGGTTTTGTCCACTCCATCCACCACATGACTGCACTCCCCCCCATCAATCTGCTCGTTTGGGCTGCTGGAATTTACGCTCCCACACACGCAGACACGCACGTGCGCACACGACGAGACGAGTGTTGTTAGAGAGCACCTATTAAGGCCGGCACAGCGCACGGAGGAGGGGAGGGGGGCCGGAGTGGTGTTAGGGTGAGGTCATACCCCCCATGGTGATGTGACCACATAGCGCACCGAGTACTCGTTTAATGTTGACTCGAGAGGAAGTTCAGGTCCGTTGACCGGGATTTAACTCACGTGGCCGAGAACTTAACGTGGTGAGCGAAGCATAATATTACGTACACGGATAGATGGGCAAGTGTTGTTAGCGAGCACCTATTAAGGTGAGCCAGCCACGGCGCGTTTGATGGGTGGGTGAGTTGGTATGTATGTTGAACCTCTTTCGCACCGTCCATAGACAATCGTGTTCATGGGAGGTGATAGAAATAGAGGCATACACAAACGCACAGCCAACTTTGGCTCCCCGGTACGTTATTATTGATGTTGACCATGCGCTGCTGCACTAAGGGCTCGTTGTTAATATTTTTTGTTGAGAGATTAAACAAAAAAACACACCATAGAAGTTTCGGTCATCTGACCATCTTCAGGCATAAGAACTTTTTAAGCCAAAGTGAGTGTTTAAATAACATTCTAACCGAAAGACAAATACAAAAGTATTCAAGGAATGCATTCGAGTATTATACAATTTGGAGCATGGGAGACAAGGGGGTGGGGTTTCGTTATAACTGAGGCTCATCAGCGAACCACACCAATATGCATGCTGCCAACAAGGTCCCAGCGCGTTAGATGGGTGTGCTCATTATCACTGGGCTCATCAGCACTTGCATCTTCTCAAGCACATCATTCCTAAATCCACGTGAAACTCTTGCATTTGTTCTACGCAGTGGTTCTTAACCCCCTGGGGGTGCGAGATGTCCCTTCTGAGAACCAAAGGGGTGCAAGGCTGCAGTGAAGGTAAAGAACCACTGTCTTTTTCGATGTAAAGCTTTCGTGACTGCAGGGATTCATCTTCTTGGTTCTTTCGGTAAAGTCACGTAGAAGGGAAATAATAAAATAATAAAAAGAAAACATTATAATATAATAATATTAAATGGTTTATTTTTATTATTTTATTATTTCCCTTCTACGTGACTTTACCGAAAGAACCAAGAAGATGAACCACTGTCTTGTACCTAATAACTAGCTGGTGTTCAATTCGTGCGGCATCCACGAGCTCTTAATGCCCCCTGCCGGCCAGGAGAGAGACACAGCAAGGGGTGGGAGGTGGAATTATTCAGCCACCCAGCTCTGCATAAGCCAGCGAGCGGGGGGGGGGGGGCTTTCCTCGGCATCTCCTCCCTCGCGTCTCTCTCCTCCCCGTCTCGTCGCTCGCACGCGACTCTCTCCCAGCCTCATCGTCGTCCCGTTAATTACCCGCCTCCCCCCTCGTCCGTGTTTATTAAAAGTCTCCGTGTGCTCATTGTAAACAGTGCGTGGGTGGCGCCATAATCGGCTCCGTGCCATCTTCTCCACTTGGGCCAGCTGTGCGCAACCTGTGTTCCGCCCGAAGCGTGGTTCACTTCACGCCCGTTATTAATCCAAAGCCCTCGTCCCTCTCAAGACTGGAATCCGTTCCGGATTAAGCTAGCGCGGAGCCTGTAGCACGTGTTATAAAGGGGCCCTAAATAAAATAAAACACGTAAATATTAAAACACAAATGTTTAACTTGCATAGTAAAGTTATTGCATTTTTTCATTTGCTATACAGCCAGATAATACGACAAATCGCTAACCTTAAACACCCAGTCGTTCATAAAAGTTGAAGGCAGTATAGTACAACAGTAATCGAGCAAGTGCAGAATCTCTGAACCGGAATTGATAGCTTGAAAGCATTTAGCGCGGGACCATTGAAAGTGCGGGGCCCGTAGCATATGTAGCTACTTTTGCTACGAGGATAATCCGGCACTGACTGGAATGGGTGGCCAGTTAGCTCCAAAGTCCACGGTTCGATTTCCGTCAAAGGCGTCGACTAATTGGCAATTACTGCGGGCTGCATCGTTCTTGTGATGCAAGACATTAGGGCACGCCAACCATCATCATCATCATCGTTGTCATCATCATCATAATACAGTGGGCATTCGTCATAGATAGTTTCATAATCAGCCACGATCACTTCGGGATGAAGGCCTCGCAAAGCTGTCTCCGTTTCACACGGTCGAAGGTCTGCAGTTGAACGTTCGCGAGTGAATTTAAGGATGCGTGGAGTGCAATCCCTCATCTTTCTCCCTTCACCTTGTCCAAACAGGCAGCGCCGTTGCACACTCTCTTGTATATTTACTCAATACCTAATGCTTTATGACTTGCAGATTGCGGTGAGGTGGTTGCCAAATATTAAAATGAACCACGATCTCTTATGAGAGATGGGTTTCTCAACAGCCGAGAATCCAGAACAAAACTGGAGACATGGGAGAGAGAATGCATCATATTATTTATGGAGTATTATTAGGGTACCATTTGCCCAGGAAAGCCTCACATAGTCTCAAGACTTTTCAGGAAGGCCTTGCAAAGTAATTCATGTGAAGAGACCTTCAAGAAATTTACCAAACTAATTTCACTTGTTGATGCGGTTGAGAGATACAGCATGGGATAAAAGAGATTGAGGAACAACGGTGATTATACTCTTCAAGCAATCAAAGATGAATGTTACACAATGGACAGCTCCTAAGATGGAAGAGCTTGACCTGAAATGGGACTGCATTTGTGACATTAATGCATGTTGTATCATACGGTCCAGAAAACCACTGACAGATTAAAGACATATCCCCATGTATACCAAGCTAAAAACTACACATGTATTTGTTTAAAATAATTGTCCCAATGAAACGTTGGTTTTCAACAGGTGCCCCAATAATGAATCTCAACGGGGCTTCAAC